TGGAAAAAAAGAATACCGATAATATAAGGTTTACATTCTATTCCAGAGTGCATTTTCAAGGTCCGCCGCATAACGTTAAAAACATAGGTCGATTTTGTTATTCAAAACTTTCCCTCCCTGTCTTCTCTACATTCAACCCTACGAACAAGAAAGGCAGAAATCTAGACTGTGCTGCAAGGCAGTGGGCGTCCCGTCCCTGTACCTCTGAATAACTGTTGACGCCTGAATACGATGTAGGGACACACTGTTTTGTTTAAAGTGATCCGATATATGGAAACCGAAGGGTATGAAGGCGGGCACCACCGCTACAGCACATCTCCTTTCTCTCTTCTCTCCCATCTTAGCCTCTCAGTATTCGCCGCCGAACGCTTTCTTTCCCCCGAGGACTAGACTCTTCTTGCAGACTATATTAGGTTGGAACTTGTTAGATCTCCTGTGGATGCGGATTCTAGTAAACTGCGTTATAAATACGGGACCCGGGAAGGTCGGGTGTTAGTGTTGGGATTCTCCATTTCTCTTCAGGTTTAGCCCCCAATCAGAACGTGGCATACATTGTAGTGGGGGCGATATGTACAAGCTGGTGAACTTAAAATCAACCCTTGGTCATGCTCGTACTACGGCCTAAAGGGGATTAGTGCGGGAGGTAGTCAGTTACGATTACAAATCGCTCACACCTTCAACTAGTCAACTTAACTCTCACGAAAGGTATGAATATCCGCCACGATTATTGCAGAGGGTACTAGCATCCGCCTCGAGTGAAAATGCAGCGATCCAGGAGAAATACCATGAGCAGTGAAAATGTTTCGTCTACGGAACGAACACCGAAACGTACTACTAAGGTACCCGTTTCTAATGTAGGTTTATTACGACTCAGCATGTATACTCTTGGCAGAGGGGATTCTGAGAGATTATAGCACCGAAGGCTACAATTACGACAAGCACAGCGAGCCTATCGCTACCGCAAGGAGACAATAACCTTGTCTTTGCAGCACCGACTTGAATATCTACAGACACAGATTCAGAATCTACATCGGACGTTCCAAGCATACAACTATCAAATAGAAAGATCCGGTATATTATCTTTTGAACCGGCTCTCGAAGGAAAGCTGCAACAATTGCGCACGCAGGTTCTTGCAATTTCTGCTGCTGCAAATTCGAGTAACGAGGGCAGCAGTACAATTCAAATGAATGAAATCGCATCGACTATGACCCAAGCGAGGCAACAGCAGACGCACTCACAGGAGTCAGAAGACGATTTTGAGTCGACCACATCAAGACCAGTCAATGGGGGCCTCCATTTAGCTAGTCCGATCTCCTCGTCTAACAGTGCCGACCACCAAGAAAACAACTCACGGGGCAAAACATCAGTCCAAAGTTATCCATCCTTACCAACATCTACCCTGCCTTTTGTCAGCCGTTCAGAACCAGTACGATGCGCTATAGATGATGATGCTTTCCTTAATATTCTGCGCCGCTCACATCTCTTATCTTCTTCTACTGCTTCTTTCCGCGAGACATCTTTTGAACGCCGGTTGCATCGAGCCTGTCTGAAAAACGGATATAACTTGTTGGTAGATCCAACCTCCGATCCAGACAATGTGAGCCGGGTGTTCAGGCTCCCATTAACTCTGTCCACCCGAGATTCTATAGTCCAACAGATGAAAGGAATTCTGGAAGGTGGCTTAGATGAAGCTCCGGAGTTGTGGGATATGCCTTTCTTCTTGCTAGGGGGCGCTGGGACTCACTATCCTCGAAGGGATCGCACAGGAAAGCCTATCCTTCCTCCGAATGCATTGCCGATGAGTAAACTCATTGGTTCTTTTGTACATCAAAGAACAGAGCCACAATTCTTCGAGAGCGACCCTGACCTTCTGGCCGATCTTGGCCTCAATGGCGAGTGGCTTGATTCACATGACGTGGAAGGTTATCTTGAGGAGAAAGGTATCTTCTTAAGTGCAGATACCGCATTTTGCAGTGTTCCCGCACGTGCATTCTCAATGGAAATCCGGCATTCCAACGTAACAGGTACCAATGCTCAACACGTCATGGACATGGATGAATCAGCCCTGGGTTATATGCATCCTGTTAATGCGGATTTTATGGAAACCCAGGCAGGAGGACGGGTATCAGACATACATGTACTTTTCCGTTTGCCATCAACGTATGAATGACTGACTAATGTCAAAAGCCGGCGCAGGATCTAGATCTTCGAAACTATACCGGTCCAAGCGGTTCTTGGGTCCTGGATGTGGGACTATTCATTGACTGTATGCACTTAGTGAACCTAGATCGGTTGCTATTGCCCTCTGACAGGAACAGATCTTATTCAGTCCGGCATTTGCCTCGGTCGCTGCCCTGGGTTTCGCCGAGAAGATGTCGAGCATACATTTCGCCTCGCATTGAGTAGAAACTTCTTGGACTCTTCAATGTGATGCGTTCATATTCACAGAAATAAGGCTCTGCCGGCAGGATGTGCGCATATCAGACTTGCTGTATACCTACCAGTCTCCGGCTAGTCTGTGCTGACGGTTCGGACCATTTATCTGTGACTATAGAATACTACTTGTTCTCAATGCTTGCCACGTGGGACCTGGGGATACTTGGAATAGTGCTTTTTATATGTGACAGTTTGGCGTTAATTTAGGTAACTGCATATCATTCGAGAATGGAGTCCTTAGGGATGCACATGAGTCTTCTTTACCGCTCTACCGTCACGATAGTCGTCCAACAGGTTGTTGACTTTCTTCGCGTCAAGTCCGTCTATGACTTCAAAGTCCAACGGCTTCAGCTCGCCCTTCTTGATCCAATCCGGCAACTCCCTCCAGAACTTGGCAGCCAGCTCTTGGTGCAGGTCACTGACTCCGAGAATATGGTTTTTCTTGAAACCAGCGGTCTTTGTAGCTGCAATTACAGGATCAGCCTCTCCACGCACCAATGTTGCTAAAGACCCTTTCTTCGTGGTCGACAGAAGCGAGAGCGCCAACTGGTGACTAACGCCACCCGAGTAAGCACCGTTGACTGTGTCAAAGACGTACAACAATTCATCGCCCACCAGCGCGCGGATCTGATCTTCTACATCCGCTGCCTCCCGATCTATGATATGAGTAGCACCAAAGTCACGGAGGGATTGGCCCCCATCACTGCGGACCTTGGCTGTTGCAATAATTTTCCCAAAGCCTACGAGACGAGAGAACTGAAGGGCAAATTTCCCACTATTAGAGCCGCCTCCAATGATGACAATCGCTTCATTCGCGTAGTCCACACCGTGGCCCAGGAACTTTGGTGCTAGATCCAATCCCGACGAACTGAATAGGGCGATAAAACTCGCAATAGCATTGACGGGGAATGTCGCTGCCTGGTCAAAGCTAATATGATGTGGTATAGGAGCAGCAAAGGTTGCGTCAAGGATGCAGAACTGTTGCAAGCCGGCTTGGTTAGGACCACCCGACAGGATATTAGACTGCCCAACGATGCGATCTCCAACGGAGAACCTTTGGACGTCTGGTCCTATCTTCTCGACAATACCGCTGATGTCGTTCCCTAGGATCGCATGAGGCAAGTACTTCTCCACAAGTAAACCACGATCTCGACCCTACGAGGGATTAGAATTGATCGAACAGTCAAGTATTCGGTAAATCTTCTTCACGATACCTTTTGGTCATGAGGATTAACTATAAGCTGTTAGCTTTTCTTCCATAAAAATAAATGCATCAATGGATCATACTTCCGGCTGCAATGATCCTCACAAGAATTTGATTTCCATTTGGCTCAGGGATAGGTCGCCTGTGTAGTACCAGTGGCCTTTGGACCTCTTTAAGGATCAATGCTTGCTGCGTATCCATTTCGTATAAAAAGTTCGCGTGTCGCGCTGCGTGGTAGAAGAGAAGTGAAAATATCAAGGAAAGTAGGCTGCGAATGAACAGACAACCCATTGATCGAAGGCGAACGGTATACGTAACTGAGTCGCCCTATCTGTAAGGAAACCATTAATCAGCCGAGAATGTGAGTATTTCTAATCAGTCCTTGACCTCGGTCAAGAACGATATGATCACTCATCTTTGTAGGAAGCTTATCCCATCGCGAACCATGATAGCTAGCTACATTGATTAGTCACGGGCTAAACAGAATCAGCCATTAGTTCGGGCAGGCCCATTGCTGAGATATTTTAGATAAAACCTGCTTGGCGAGATGTCCCACTCTTGGCCTCGGCTGATCTGCTGTTGATCTCTCATCGACGAATCTCGCTGAGTCGGTCCGCTCCCCTTTGGGACTCTCTAGTATGACCACTACGTCCGACCAAGCAAAACGAAAATGAAATGAGAAGTTGCTTGACGGGCACATCTATAGAGCGATCCTCACGCCTGCTACAGCTAGGAATGTATGAAATGCTGCTGGGATCCGATAACGTACCTCTCTTCCACGGAAATCATCTGATAGATTATGGTCCGCATGGAATACTACACAAACTCAAGGAGAAATGGGTAGTCGATAAATTACTCTTTACTTGGTGGTAGAATACCACTTCAGTTCCGAAATGGTTAGTAATCCATACTCTGTGCCCTAACTAGTGGCCGCGGTTAGTGCTTTTTCACTTTACATCCTCATTCTTATCTGCGACGCCTAGGCAATCATATCCTCCCCCTAATAGAAGATCCAATTGGACCCTAACGTCGTGACGTTTATTTCTTGAGAGGGAGGAAAACATAGTCTGTATGGGAGAGTTTCGATTCAAACGGACCAGAAAGATGTGGGGAAGCTCGGATCTAGGTTGGGCGTTGTGATTGCTCAACATGAGCATTGCTTTGGTGCTTGACTGGTTTGCGGGGTCAGTTGCAGGGGCAGTTCCGAGCCGAACAAAACTTTACAGGGCTCATAAATCGCTTATGCAGTGTAGTATATAGTAGAAGTGAAGCACATTTGATCGGTATTTTACAGACGCGTTGGTTTATGACTACATAAAAAAGATCTCTTTCCTTTGCCTCTCACGCATGCTATTCACCATGGCTTGGCCTAATGTCCCCATCAAAGCCGCTGAAGGCATCTCCTACTTCACTCCGGCTCAAAGTCCACCAGCAGGAACTGCCCGCAACCCCCAGACAAGCGGCAAGCCCATTCCTAAGCTCTTCCAGCCCCTGACCATCCGAGGCCAGACATTCCAAAATCGCCTAGGCGTACGTGCTCTCCATCGATTCACGTGGCTCTTCTCGGAACTTGTACTCACCATGCAATCTTCAGGTGGCCCCGATGTGCCAATATAGTGCAGAAGATGGCCATATGACTGCTTGGCACATGGCTCATTACGGTGGTATTGCCCAGCGCGGTCCGGGAATGATCATCATCGAAGCCACCGCGGTCGTTCCGGAGGGTCGTATTACACCCGCTTGTGTGGGTCTGTGGAAGGACTCCCAGATCGCACCCCTGAAGCAGGTTGTGGAGTTTGCTCACAGCCAGGGCCAGAAGATCGGTATTCAGCTGGCCCATGCCGGTCGTAAAGCCTCGACTGTTCCCCCGTGGTTGGGCGGTGTTACCGCAACCAATGCGGTGGGTGGCTGGACGGAGAATGTCAAGGCCCCGAGCGCTATTCCCTTCGCTGAGGGTGATATCGTTCCTAAGGAGATGACCAAGGAGGATATTCAGGGGGTCAAGGACGCCTGGGCGGCTGCTACTAAGCGAGCTTTGGCCGCTGGCGTCGACTTCATTGAGATCCACAGTGCCCACGGGTACCTGCTTCAGATGCTTGTTTCTGCAGTTGGTACGATCAACAGCGGTGTTCTTGCTGAGAAGGTCCTCTCTGAGGATGATGTCGATGTCATCTTAGTCGGGCGTGCCTTCCAGCGTGACAGTGGTTTGGCCTGGGCTTTCGCAAAGGACTTGGACACTGAGATTGCTATGGCTGCGCAGATCCGCTGGGGCTTCACTAGCTTCCGCAATGCGTCAGAGTATATTCAGCCGAACTCGTTGAAGGCATCGATCTTTGACTAAATAATGATCTCTGTATAGCATATAGGATTAAAATGCGGAAGGAAGGATGGTTTTGTTTACCCTTGCCGAGGAGATCCAGACCAGCCAAAAAACCTATACTTGCATTTGGCACGGATCTTCCTAGAATATCAACGGCCTGAACCATTGCTGAGTTGGTTTACCTAACTAGATAAAAATGTGAATGCTTATCTGGTCTCGTGGGTTGCGGTTTATAATCTAAGTCATCTCGCGAGATGGTGGCTACAGGAACATTCCTGATGCGGGGCCGGCGACCGCAAAAACCTTACCATCCATAGGAAATATGTTCGGTTAGAAAGTTGGTCGGGGAGTTTTTGTTCTGTTAACAATCAGAAGAGAATCGGAACCAAGGGAGCTGACGGAGGGGCCCTTGTTGCCGTTTGGGGGGTTCTTGATTATGACACCTCAGAGAGTCAATACCTGTTGGCTTTATATACTATCTCAGCTCTCCACGGTCTACTAGGTGAGGCCATGAACAGCCAAAAAAATATAGTTGACAAAAAGGCAGTCTGTTGCTGACATTTATCCACATTCTTCGGCGGGAGTTAATGCGGAATTTACGCGAACAGAGATTAGCAGCCATCTTTTCTTTCATAGAGGAAGGGTTGTCGCCATGTACATTCTATGTCTGCTTATTCAGATCACTCAGGCTGGTATTGTATGACATGAAACGACCAGTCGAGTTCTATGACTCTCGGGTGAAGTAGGTAATGAACTTTTGGAGACAGAATATATTCCGTATTGAACCACATCTTTTAGTAGATCAATACTTCCAGTCGTGATCGACAACAATTCCACCTCCGCTGAATCGCAACAGAAGGAATGTCGCGAGAGGGTCAATTACAAGACTGTACCCGGAGACCCTGTCATGCACGTTTACCTCAATGCTTGATTCGGATTCGGATTTGCTTGTGCGGATATGCGTCTTGAGTAATGTGTTTGAATTTCTAAGTGTGGAGTATTCCGTATTTCTTCTCTAGCAGTCTACACTTACTTCGCAAATGCAGTAACGAACGTATTCCACACCAATACATCAAGGCTCTTCCTCGCTTCCTTCACCGCTGCACTCCCAAGTACATTCTCTCTGATCTAAAATCTCAAAGTCAGCCAACTGTTCTCAACCCACCAGCAAAATCAAAAGATATTTCAAGCTCACCTCACTACTCTCCCACCCCAAGATACCAACCCATCTCTTCTCCTCTAGATTTAGACTCGTCCCTTGAATACTCTTCCCATTCCCATTCACACCACCCGCCTCAGCAACCGCACTAACAAACTTCTCCCACGCCCCCCTCGCCTCCACTACTTTCCCATCCTCCTCCCCAATCTTCACCTGCCACACCTCCGTCAACGCACTCCCAAACACCTCACTCGGCCCGAAATCCGTATTATATAGCTGTGGGACTGGCGGTGCAACAGAATGAGGCTTCACGATGGATTTGAAGGTCTGGAAATTTTCTGATGCGACAAAGGTGTTGAAATGTGAGGCGTCTTCCCACTCTGTCGAAGCATTAGCATCAGACTATGTTCGAATTTGCGCGAGGGCTGAAAGAAGGGAAAGGAGGGCAGTAGGACGGGGAGGGAGCAAGAGAAAGGGAAAGAGAAAGGGAAAGAGAAAGGGAAAGAGAAAGGGAAAGAGAAAGGGTAAGAGAAAGGAAGAAGGAAGAGGAAATGACGAACCAAGCCCAACGCCAAGTCTAAAGTCCCCCGACACATCATTGCCATTCTCGAGGAGAATCTTCCCGAAGTACTTGGCCTTAGGAGGAGTGGGATGTGTGTCAAGGATTCTGATGAGAAAGGGTGCGATCTCGGTGGTGAAGGTTGCTTCCGTTGCGGGATCTGTCTTCAATGTTGGGACGACCAACTCGGTGAAGGCCATTTTTGCTGTGTAGGACTTGCCTGTCGCTGAACCCTGAACCCGGGAATAGCGCGCTTATATATATGGCAGAAGGCTGGCGTTTACTTTGGGCAACAGGCCACTTGAGGCAATGGCGATGGCCTAACCGACATGATGAGTAAACATCCCGAGGTTGACATCATCGATTTCTAATTGGTGAGAAATCCGAGTATCCACAAACCTTACCCAGACCTACTCTCCGTGAGAGTGGCGGTAGTGTGTGTCTGGTAAGTTTGTGCAGGTAGCTGGTAGCATCAGAGAGCAAACATGTAAAACAGCACCGTAGCCCCACCAGTCTCTCAATGATTCTCGATGGCCCCGTAGAATCGCTTATAAATGTGGTTCTTTTGATGAGTGATCAAAACTGTGCTGCATGCTGGTCTAGTAACAAGCTTGCAGAGTAATAAGGAACCGTGAATAAAACAGATCGACGCTAGTTTCTCGGCCTATCTGTTGTGATTACCGATCATTGATATATCAGCCAGATATAGTGGTGGTTTCGTCACAAAACGTCTTATCGAGCAGATGGATTGGTCAGATGAGCTCCACAGGCTTACAAAAATGCTAGTTGACCCTCTATTTCAAACTTGATAATTCTATAACCTCATAATAAGTCGATAAAGGCCTAACACCAACACAAATCAAAGCTCACATCTGCATTTTGAGCATAATGCGCGTCGGAATCTTCCCCGCTTCAGGGGGGCTTGGCACCAGCACATATACCAATCTTCTATCTCAAGTTCCCAACAATCAAGTCACGCTCATCAACCGATATCCCGAGAAAGTCCCTAAGAAATATGTCGAAAACGGGGTCACCGTTCGCCAGGCTTCTTATGAATCCAGCGCTGAAGAGCTTGAAGCTGTCTTTACCGGGGTCGATGTCCTCTTCTTGATATCCTTCCCCAGCTCCGTCCACCTATACAGGACCAAAGTTCAAACGAAAGCCCTCGATGCGGCGCAGAAAGCTGGAGTCAAGCATATCTTCTATTCTTCTCTGGCCTTCGCACCAGTCAGTGCCGAATCTGCAAAGGCAGAAGTCATGGCAGCGCATCTCGATACTGAAGCGCACCTGAAAGAACTTGCTCGTACCAACTCAGAACTCTCATGGACGAGTATTCGCGAAGGACTTTACAGCGAGTCCTTTCCGGTTTATGCTGCGCTTCTCGACTTCAAAAACCCACCGTCCACGATCAGAATTCCGCAAGATGGAAATGGGTTTGGTGTTAGCTGGGTCAGGCAAGATGAACTGGGAGAAGCGTCTGCGCGCCTGATCGCTTCATATGTGAAATCTCCATCGGCATTTAAATACACTAACAAGATTGTTACCTTGTCTGGCCCAAAGTCCTGGACATGGGCCGAGACCGTCGAGGCTCTCGCGCGAGCAACAGGCAAGGACATCAACATCCAAGAAGTCAGCCTCGACGAGTACAAAAACCTGCCACAGATCAAGGCGTACTTCGGTACTGAGCAAATAAACACGTTAGACACTGCTTGGGAAGCCATTCGTGCTGGAGAGGCAGCTGGCGTGACCACAACATTGGAAGAAATTCTTGGAAGGGAGCCCGAGCCCTTTGAGAAGACTCTCGAGGAGTTTGCCAAGAAGCAACGGTCTGAAGAGTGATGTTGTATTGTTCTGCACGACCTAGGACATTACCTGGCAACTTGGTGGAACGCTTAACGTAAACAATGAGATTAATCTATTTTTGATTAGCTATATGACGTGCCCAAAAAGATCGCCGCCTGGTTTGTTCAAAGTTTGCGTAGCTTTGTTTGTGAAATATCTTGTTGGTTCTGCTAAGCTACCTCAGCCTGAGGCCAAGTAGAAATATCTACCCAGCCAGACACCGGCGCTGATGCCCTGAATTTGGAAAAGGATCGAAAAGGATTGAAAAGGATCTATGACTCCCCTTAAGGTTCCTTAAGAGAATCAAAAAGAAATTGCAGTTCCTCGAGTCCTGGCATCAAAATGAACATTTTGAGAATTACAGGAAAACCAACTCATGTAATCACAATCCATCATGTTTATTGGCATGGAGTAAGAATAGTCTCATAATAGATCACGGTCTCTGCATCTACATACAAAGTCCATCAGGACATTCCAATATACCTTAAGATCCAACGGCGCCGTTCTTCCTCAGGTAGACTTCAAGAACTTGACCACGATTTACATCACTCATGCTCATGGCGATCACTTTTATGGAAATGCCGCGCTCATTGAGCGGTTCCCTGAGGCGAAAATCCTAGCTACCGCGGAAGTTGTGGCCAAGACGGCTGAAGCAATACTACCAGACGGAATGGATGCTTTTTGGAGGAGACTTTTCCCAGGAGAAATACCAGAGAAATTGGTGACAGCTGTTGCTCTCAACGAGGATCACTTTATGCTGGAAGGGGAGAAGCTTGTGGTGGTCAGAATCGGGCACACTGATACGGATGAAAAGCACGGCCCTCTGGGTGCCTGCTATCGAGTTGGCAGTCCGCGGGAGATACGGTCTATGACAACACACATCCATATCTAGGGGGGTCATTCAGTAAACAATCAAGGCTGGAATGGATCGCAGCGCTCGACAAGATTGCGGTCCTTCATCCAGAGATTGTGGTTGATGGCCATAGTGACCCAAGCAAAGACTTCAGTCCAAATGCTGTTCACGAGACCAAGGCATATTTTGAAAATTTGGAGCGGGCTTAATCAAGCGCTGAGGAGTTATATTCTCGCATGGTGGAATTGTACCCGCCCTGAATCGACTGAACGTGGGTTCGCTATGGGGGGCTGCAAGTCTCGTGAAGAAATAAGTCGGATATTGTGCCTCTGTTTACTACATAGATCGTGGCTGATCGGAGAACACCTCGCTGTATCTTATCCGCAAAACTTGGACGTCTAGCTTAGTGATGATATTTTCGGGTGTTACTATACTATCATGGTTGATTCTGTCATAAATATATTATACCTCAATGCTTGATGAGCTCCTCCTTTGACTCAAATTACTAGTTACTATTCATGCTCAAGAAAATCATGTTGAGATTTTGTTAATCTATTCGCTCTGCTGAGCCCGACGGATTTCTCTATATTGCACAAATATGTTCTAGTGCGTGAACATCATTTTTTTGAATTCCTAACGCATCAATACTAATGAAGTAATAGCCAAGACCAAAGTACGTTGCTTAATGGCAACCAGAATAGACTGTATTAACATGCCGAGAATAACTAAGTCAATTGGATAGCTAAATCTTCACACCAACAATATCAGATAATGTAGTTTGTTATTAAATTCTATACACTTTGCTCTTGCAATCTACTGAGATTTGGTTTTTGGGACACAAGCATTCTTCTTCTCTTAGCTTTGTGATGCGGTGGCTGAAATTGAACCCACAAACTCGACGATATCATTGAGAATCCTTTGGGAATGAGTGATGATAAGGACTGAGAACAGCAATTATTAGTCATTTTTTCATCGATGAAAAAGGGTCTGGGGAGGAGGAGGCTTTCGTACTATGACTTGCGTTCTCATACAAGTTTATTTTTGCTCTGGGGATCATCTGTTTGATGCGATCTATGGTCGCTTCCGCGGGGGCCCCAGCATCCGAGTCACCGTGTAGGAGTAAAACAGGGACGTCAGATTCCTCCCCCAGAGCTGCTAATTTTTCACTGAAGTCGTAGTGAGTGAAGATTTGTACAGCGCGCTCAACCGCAATAGCTTCCGCGGCCTCAGCCATCCGCTCAAACCGCTCAAGCGTCTTGGCAGGGACTTGGTTATTACCAATACCCAATGGCCCTTTGAATGAGTCGGCAAAAAAGCCAACACGATCCTGACGGATTGCACCTATGACCTGGTTCCACATTTCCAAAGGTGCTGCTTGAGGGAACTCGGGCGTAGCGACAGGATATGGAAGAGTTGTATTTGTGAATACAAATCCCTATTGATTTAAATAGCCGTCAGAATCAATTAATCTTCTCTCAAGGGGCGGGAAAATCAACGGGGAGGAGTAACGGCCATATGCAGCACGTACTTGGCAATGTTGACGGACATAATCACTGGATGTGTATGCCAAAAGCGATTCCCCACCAGCCATGCTGGCTGCAACGAAGATGAACTTTCCCACTTTGATTTTTTCGAGAAGATCGGCAACATCCCTTCCGAACACTTCGTAATTAATCTCAGTTCGGTCTGGTTGCAGACCATTCCAGTCGCTCCGCCCGAAGCCCCGTCGATCTGGAGCGATACAGCGGAATCGGTAGGTCTCAGTGAGTTGTACCATCAAAGGCTGCCACATTGCTGAGGACAGCGGCCATTGATGCAAGAAAACTATCGCTGGCCGTTGCTTATCGCCATGTTGGTTGTCTGTATTATATGGTGCAGTGACTGAAGAGGGAATATAGTCCCGAAAGAAAAGCTCTGCGCCGTCGAAAGAACTTTGGAAACGGGGCATCTTTCTTGGTCTTCTCTTCGAAGTTTGGTCGGGTCGAGGTAACTTTCGATATGGTATTTATCGAGACAATTACTCGAGGGTATATATACTCTGTTACGGGTCAACTCGGATGGCCCTAGCAATATCTAGTTACCGACAATGGACCTGTGATATGTAAGCATGTGGCACGTCACTGTTAGCTTATTAATTACTTATGGACATTTAGCTAACTATACTTCGCCACTCTGAGGTGACCCATTTATTAAGATTGCATATTGCTCCGCAAGAGGGGCCGGGGAGTCTTTGCCTTAAAAGGAAGTGCTCCAAGGTTAATTTTGATCAAAGTAAGTGAATAGTACAATTCTACAGTCTGCTCAAAAACAGAAAGAGCAAGAAAAAGAACAAGAGATAGAAAGCTGAGCTCATAGTTCTCTATCTATATCATATAGCTGTTTTGTGACTGGATGACTGGGACAGCCATTTGTGTGTCATGATTGCCAGAGGTTTCTTTACCTTTGTGTTACAAGAGTTCTCATCGAGGATTAGTGATCGTTATACTTTTGGGATGCCCGGCGGATTACTGAGCAAGTGAGGCAATTTTTCTCCTATAACTTTTGTGGCATCATAGTGGCCCGGTTAATGCGGGGCTTCAGCTGCCCTCACTGATAATTAGTAAGTATAATGTTCGGTGGGAGTTTCCCACTCTGAAGTCAGGCTCTACCGGAAGACGGCACTCGCGAGTGCGGTCAAAGATCAGCCAAAGATTTAAATTGCCGGATAGTGCGGAATTGCATGAGGCAATCAGTTCTGGTCTCATTTCCTATTAGTCATCGTTGTTTCTTAACTAGACAAAGTACAGTACAGAAAGCCTTGTTATCCTGCATCCAACTGAGCGCAGATACTGAGTATCACTGCCATAATGACTTTTGGCCGGATTCCACGGGGGTCCCCCAGCCTGAGGTTCTTTAGCCAGTGCATCGTTATCTGCTAACCAGACGTCTCTCAGGAGCTGGACATCAATTCTAGGCAGTGATGCTCTCTGCCCGGACTGGAGGACCCCGGTAACAGTTGAATCGAGGAGGTACATTGCGAGTTGTCGATCGATCGGATGCTCTGCTTCCAAGTCTGAAAAGACCGAGGGAGAAACTTCGTTTTGATTTGCAAAGGTTCCCGAGTTGATAGAGGGACCGACACAATATCCTGGGATGAGGCGGAACCACCTTCACAAGATATGGTTGATTTCAGGATACTCGTTATACAACGCAGGGAGAGCCGGATATGCCCAAGCTATGATCCTGACTCCACTGATATGCATTGGATAGTAGATCTTGGCATTGCCGCGTTTTTCGAGTGACTGGTCTCCATACGTTGCCATATCAACCTCAACTTCTGTCGCATTGCAGTTGGCATTGGCGCAGTCTGCACCCGAGCTGCCGCTTTCCTAGTGGCAGCCTGTCAGTTCGACTGGATTGGAACAACAGTAACTCTGACCGCCGAACCAACAATTATCATAATTTTTGAAAGCCTCGGATTTGCCAGACGGGCAGGAGGCTCGACTGGGACTTGTCCAAATCATGTTAGATATTTCGTACCTCAAACGTTTGAAAGAGGACGTACCATTTTGCATAAGAATGAACAATATTAAGGATATTAAATCTAAGGAAGGAAAATTTCACGAACACCAGGTGTTCGGATAAAGCTTTGCGTTGACCATGGGCCTACCTCAATCCGTCCGAACTTCGATCTAATATCTTGGGTAAAGAGAGGATCATTCTCCCGCAGCATTAGAAGTCCGCGGTGACCCCGAATGACCAAGCGGAAGTTACCCTAACGTTAGTTAACTATTCCTAAGTCTAGCGATGACGGCTCATCGCCCTGGCAAGCGAATTTTTCCGTGGACGCTATCGACTTTGAACAGATAATTCGGAGTATACAAATTGCTGATGCATCATTTTTCCCATAAATTATGTCCAAGCTGAAAGAGTGGCACTTATGGATATGGAAATCAATACCCCACACCCTCACGCCCCATTAAGCAAATGAACCAGAATTCCGCTAGATCGCCTCTCAGCATCTACACGGGTTGCGGCCATGATTCCAAAGTCGTCTCTGTTCCCAATAGCTCTAAAGTTGCTGTGCTTTGTGTGGGCACGTCGATCAGCACCTTGTAAACCCCCGGATAAAGCACACGATCGCCACGTTCGGTCACGCGAGCTAGATCTCCAAGCGTAAAATAAAGTGTAGCAGATCGAGTTTCCTTGGGCATGACGGCCATCAAACGGGTATAAGCACCGAGCTGCTTGGTAGCATGCGGAGGCGGACCGACAGTGGTCGCGATAAAGCCAAGGACAACAAAGTCGGATGTTCGACTACCTGTATTCGTTACACTCACAACTACCGGCGGTAGCGGACAAAGATCCAAAAACTGGGTGCCGCAATCGTCCACTAGCTCATTGATCCGGTATGAACCCAGATGAACAGAATCATCATGAGCGGACGACCTCTGAGCGCTCGTTCTATGGCCTTGAATTAGAGCCGAGAAGGTCGTATAATGCAGCCCATGTCCAAAAGGCAGCACTGCATTCTCATAATACCAGTATGTCCGTCCCGGCCGGTCACCTTGCGGCCGGAGAGACATGTCCGTCATCGGAATTTGATCCACGTACCTAGAGGGGTACTGGGTGACGGGCAATCGACCGGCAGGAGGGATTAAGCCAGTTAAAACATCAAAAATGGCTGGGCCCCCATCCTGACCGGGATATGCCGCCCACAGGATTGCAGAAACATTACGATTATTGAGAAGGGTGGTGTCGTCGAGTTGGTCGCCTAGATGAACGACCACACAGGGCTTTCCAAGGGCACATATTTCCTTGATGAGACTTAATTGAGAGGTGGGCCATGCGACGGATATGCGGTCATTGAGTTCACTCGCGCTTGAAACATCGATACCCCCGAAGTATAGCACAACGTCGGCTTTCTTGGCGGCTTCTATCTGCACTGTCCAGTTACCGGTTGCGTTTTGCGAAGTGGAGGGGCCAGATGCGTAAAAAGTCTTTAAACCTAGTTGCTTTGCGGCGTAGAGTGGCCCATGGTAATATGGAGGAACACCGAAGTAGCTACCCAGCATTTCCCAGGTGGCATTGGCATACGCCCCAATAAGCGCGACCTTGGTGTTGCCTGTGAATGTGAATGGCAAAGCGCCATCATTTTTGAGCAGTACCATACTTTTCGCCGCCGTCTTGCGTGCCAAAGCTTGGCTGCTTGGCGTGTTAACTGCAGACCAACCCAAGGATACATATGGATCTGTCGAGTTAGGCCCGAAGTATCCAACGCGCACCAAGGCTTCGTACTGGCGGCGCAAAGAGATATCGATTGTATCCTCCGAGAGCAAAGATTTACTATATGCCTCAGAAATACCGGTTGGGGAATCTCCCGCGCACACGAGATCGACGCCTGTCTGAAACACCAATGCACTGAATTCAGCAAGACTTGAGGTGTAACTCGTGCGCTCCACGGTTTCATTCAGGAGACCACAGTCTGTGACTACGTATTGCGACGAGGCTGTCCAGTTCCAATGCTGCCGTAGGACGCGATCGATAAGGTAGGAATGGGCACAGGCAGGCACGTCATTGACCATGTTGTACGAACACATGATGGAATCGACTTTAGAGTCCCGCGCACACTGCTGGAACGGGGGCAAGTAATATTCAACAAGGTCTTGCATGGAGATATTGGCTTTGAATCCGTAGCGGCTATAACTACCCCATGTTTCCAGGTCATATCCGGCGTAATGCTTGCAGTTTGTCAGTGTCTTTTTCGTGGTCGAGCTGTGGTTCCCTGCCAGGCCACGCAGAAAGTGAGCGGCATATCCCTTGATTCGCCGTGGATCTTCTCCAGGGGTTTCAGACCCTCGGCCCCAGCGTGGATCGCGATATGGATTGACGTTCGGTGTCCAGTAGTCGAGACCTCCACGGCCGCCGTTACTGAAGGCGCGGGCCTCAGTACTAATAGTGTCTGCTACATGGTAGATCATCTCGTCGTCAAAGGCGGCGGCAAGAAGCAGTGGCGTGGCAAAGGACGTGGCAGATGAGAATTCTCCTACGGGATTCTCCGTGACGATTGAAAAGTTCACGCCAAAGCTAACACCATCAGAAAATCCAACGCCATGCAGCGCTTCGTTCCACCAGTTATAGGGCGGTAGGCCCAGACGGGAGGACCCAGCGCTTGCTTCAATGAGATTGCCCAGTTTCTCAGTGATGTTCATGCTATCCACCAAGGCTGCAGCGCGATCAGAAGGTGATATCTGTGGATTGCATACGTCGTTCTTCGTTGAGAGGAGAGGTCCGCGGTCACAGTTAGGAAAGCGCATGCCATAAATGCCTCGAATGTGCATGAATAGCACCAGGGCCAGTGGAGCGCACATAATCATTTTGAAAGAGAAAAGTTAGGCCTTCAACAACAATGCAAGCCTGAAATGGCGGTCGAGAAATCATCGGATAATAGAGCACAGGTATGAACTTAAATAGTGCCACCGATTTGGTACATCATCCTCAGAGCCGTACAAAGATAGCTTAGTGGATAACAGATTTGGTCATGACTATATCCAGCTGCATTTGAACGATCTGTTGTCCAAAATTTCGTATTCGTATCAAAGTACTCTCCTGACTTGGAAGGGGTTTGCTCCACATATGGTTGGGAATGCCGCCGATACCTGCCGCCCTAGTGGGAGAAATTGGCATGGTCGTTGTTGAAGTACTATGGTGCATGCTAAAGTGCCCACAAGCATATTCGTACTCAAAAGGTATTTTTGATAGTCAGAACTTTGATAGGCATAAGGTTCTCTGTCACCCAAGACCAGGCAATTGCTTATCATCAACATGACTAGGGATTGTTTGGTCTGGTAATTTCTCAGCCCACATTCTGTTATGGTTCTCATTGCTCCTAATTGTTTTACCTTTTTATAGTCACACCTTCCTTCTTCAGCTCAATTCACTTCTAGCCTCTTGCCACTTGTAGTCCACAATGGATCCTTTGAAAGAACCCCTTGTGGTGGTTCACCCCCGGTCTCGAATATATGTACTTATCCCCACGTAATCAGAATAGAACGCCACATTTCTTCGAGCGGGCTGGATCTGCAGCCCTCCCCACAGTGAACAAGAATTGCATGTCCTTATTTGGAAAATGTCCCGTATTCGTACTTGGACTACCTTACTCGGCAACTAATAATCATTGGTAATTACCGGTTAGCCCCTGCGCCACAGGAGCTCGCAGATATTCTGGTTCATATTCTACCAGAGTGCAGAAAGGCAAACTTTATTCCTCGTTCCTACATCTCCTGCCCGGGGTTTCGAATTACGATGGTGACCTGTTAGGGCCGGGTTAACATCAAAACTCATCATCGCTCGGGGTAATGGATTTCTCCCTCATCCGTATCACTCATGATCAGATATAGATGATCTACTTTTTGCAAGACTCTTAGTTCACTATTTGGGAACTCATCATTGTTAAGATTGCGGGGGATGGCAATTAGGTTATGTTAATCCCGCTGTATTCAGATAGGCTCTGAGAGTAATAGATCTACACTTTACAATTCCTAATTTGTTATACAGGGGTGCTTGATGTTTATAAAGTCCACCACTGGTGTTCTGCTGCATAACCACAACTACGTAACTATCCTGGTCTCAGTTGACAATGCTAAAATTAACAACTCTTCTGGCTCTGTTTGGATTGGAAAACAATCATGAAGATAGGTGGAACTTAGCCATCAAGGTGTGCTAGGGATCCCTCATACCACCTGCCTATTCTAGCTATTTGTCTTAGCTTTATCGCAAGAATATTTGTCCCTTCTTTTCTTTTCCACCACTAGGTATATTTCGCTGAGAACTCCGCTAATCGAAGAGCAAGGGGACAAGCCAGGCATCCTCCACATTTGAACATGGAGAGTACTCCGTAAGTGCAAGACTAGACATTAAGGCATAGTAGATGGTCTCTATATCTCCGGACTGATCCCCTAGCAATTTAACCACTCCTTCAAAGCTATTCCGGAGAGCGCTAAGCTAAGAAAGGAAAATGCTGCGTTCTTAGACCTAACTTTGTTATTTGCCATGAATGCGTAGATGAAAAATGGAGTGGTAACTGAAGGCAGTGGCGGACTTGTTCAGTGGATACGAGGATGCCTAACCAGCTGAATCTCCTTTTCTAGCATGGAACCGGACGATAGTGAAACCAGTTATTAACTCGTTTCGTCCACTTATGTGAGACAATCTGTGACTGCCTTATTGAGACCAATATGAGTAATGCTTCTCCGGTGTTGAGAACGGAGAATTACACCTTTTATCTAGCTGGCACGATGAAGCCTTAGTTGTAACTATTTAAGACGAAGCGCATATATATAGTGTTGTTATCCGCCGTATTGTGTCCCTTGCTGTACCACGTTCTGTCTATATCATCAAAATCACACTATTCTTTGCAAATATGCGTTCATCAACGTTTGTGGCAATAACATCTTGTCTGGTAGCTCTAGCCCATGGCTACGCGAACCCCGGAACATGTTCTGGAGCTTGCAATGTCCATGATCCTAGTGTTATTCGCAGAGAGTCTGATGGAAAGTACTTCCGGTTCTCAACTGGAAACAAAATCTCTTATGCATCTGCAACTTCTATCAATGGTCCATGGACGGTGCTAGGGTCCGTTTTGCCAAAGGGATCGTCGATCAACCTGGCTGGGAATACCGATCTTTGGGTAAGTCCTGTCTGCAATTGAGCCAGAACTTATTAGAGTATCCGCTTTTCCCCAACCGGCGAGCGCACTTTGATATTGTTTCGGTGTTCTTTCTATACCATCCTGTACCTTCCCTCTGTGATAGGTGTTCTCCTGGCCGCCAACAGTCAGTTGGTATACTTCAGAATTCATGATCTGACTCAAGCTGTGTAGGCACCGGACGTCTCCGTTGTTAATGGAGTCTATCATCTCTATTATTCAGTGTCATCTTTCGGTTCGCAGGACTCAGCTATTGGTCTTGCGACATCTACCAGCATGGGTCCTAATTCATGGACCGACCATGGCTCTATTGGTATCCGGTCCAGCTCTTCGAAGCCATACAATGCGATTGATGGCAACCTCTTTAATGATGGAGGAAAATATTACATGAACTTTGGATCCTTCTGGCATGACATTTACCAGGCACCTATGGACTCAGCCGCAACCACCATTTCCTCCTCAGCTCACAACATCGCCTATAATCCTTCAGGAACCCATGCCGTTGAAGGATCATTCATGTACAAGCACGGTGGTTATTACTATCTCTTCTACTCTGCAGGCATCTGCTGTGGCTATGACAAGTCCAGGCCAGCCTCAGGACAAGAGTATAAGATCAAAGTTTGCCGTTCGACCTCAGCGACAGGAAATTTCGTAAGCGGACATAGGATACCTTGGAGGTTCAAAAGCTGATTGGAATCTAGGTTGACAAAAATGGTGTTGCTTGCACCAATGGTGGCGGCACAGTTGTTCTTGAAAGTCATGGAACTGTCTATGGACCTGGTGGACAGTATGTCTTCCCTAAATAAGAACTCTCCTTGTCGGTCTGATAAGCGTGCAAAAAGTGCTGATTATTCTCAGGGGCGTCTTTACTGACCCTACTCTTGGACCTGTCCTGTATTACCACTATGTGGACACCAGGATCGGCTATGCAGACGGCCAAAAGCTCTTTGGATGGAATGCTATTAACTTCTCCAGTGGATGGCCTGTTGTGTGAGTATGCATATTGTTTTCATGTTCCTATTTGCTTTCCAGCAGTCAGATTTCTTTTGCCAAACGTGTGAAGAATTCTGACGCATCTGCCGATCGACCCTTATCAACTTGTGGATGAGAGTTGGTGGGCGGAAACCAATGGAAATCTGCAAGATAATATAATAAAGAGTATGCCAGGCTTGAAAGGCTTCTTCTGTAAAATATAGATGCCTATATAAGCTTATCCTAAAACCTAACTATGTTACTGCACCAGCTGCAGGTATAAACTTGGCAGGCCCCAGAACCTTTTTCTGCTCAGCGTAGCACAATAGCGGCGGGAAGTTGAATGCCATGTATCTCTCTGCTTACACCTGAGACGGTACTACAAAGGACGGCACAGGCTTCCATGGTGGAGAACCCAGTTTTTAATATCCCTGTCAATACAGAGATTGCAAAGGTCGAGATCGCTTGACGTAGATACATAGAATTGTCTACTCGGAGCTCTGATGCAGCGTAAGGGTGACAATCAGGCCTAAGTCATCACTGACAGTATTTCTTTTCATGGTATAATTCCCGTGGAATATACGCTTCCAGAATGCTGTTTAGTTCAATTCATCGCGATTAAGCAAGGTTGTAAACCTCATGTGGCAAGACTAAAAGCTAATTAGACATGGAATGAATCCACGTTATTCAGAATAAAATTGTATGTGTCATTGCGGAAATCATCCGCCAGCAATGCCCCACGGTCATTGAAGAACTGCATCAGCTGCTGGTCTTCATTCCATTGCGGCCACTCCATGAAATTGCCGCGACGTGAGTTCGGGCTGAGGTCATACACGAAGCTGAGGTAATAAGTATGAATTGCCTTTGATGCATAGTTCGGCAAAATGCCATAAAAAACCTGCAGGATATCACTGGCGTGAAATGTTCCCATGATGGGCGTTCCGTAGTCATACGATGCCAGGTACGACCAGCAGGGCACGTCGGGTGTGATTTCAGTCATGTACCTGAGATATGCACGGCGTGTAAGTGTAAATGTCAGGTCGCCCAACAGAGCTGCCAGTCGTTTGAACTGTGGGTACCAGTTATTGAAGATGCCTGTCCGGAAGGGTGAGCCATCTGTTGTGATATCTGGGTATGTGGCCACCAGCTCCTTGAGCCTGTCCCGCGTTGCCCCGTGGAAATGCTCAGCTAGGTAATCGATGATTTGAGTGGTTGTTGTAATATTTGACTGAAAGAGCGCCAATAACGTCCCTTCATCCTCCTGGTCACCAATGATGATGGGAACAGGTGCATATTTGCCCGCTTTGACCAGAACATCGGGACTAGCGGTTAGTACCTCCCCATCTGGTCGAGGCAAATATGATAAGGCAACCGAACTGTAGCTCAGGAAGCCTGGCACAGAGTTGGCCGCATTTAAAAAGTCTGTATAGTCCAAAGTGCGTAGACACTCCAGGGTATCCGCCGCGGATGAGCATCCAGCATACTCCACGATGGAGTCATACACCTGCTGTCCCTTGACCCCGTCTACTGGATCGGCTGGAACCACACTGCCTGAATTCATTATCGCGCCCCGGAACAATGGTTTTCCCTTGTAGGTATTGTTGCCATCATACATGATCAAGTGATCAAGGACTGAGATGGAGCCTGCTGACTCCCCCCAGATGGTTACCTTATCTGGATCACCGCCAAATGCTGCAATATTATCAGCCACCCACTGCAGGGCGAGGCGTTGGTCCAATAGTCCAAGATTAGCTGCGCCGTCTGCAAGGATCTCCTTTCCAGGCATAAATCCAAATCCTCCCACTCGGTAGTTCATCGCCACAAAGACGATTGGCATGTCCAGGTTAACTGAGCTCGCGACCAGCGAAGTGCCATCATATGCAGCCGTCGCCCCAAACTCAAAGCCACCACCGTAGATCCACACCAGGACCGGTAGCTTCGAGTCTGGTGTTGTACCGGACGGGCGAGCAATATTTAGGGTTAAGCAATCCTCCCCGGCATTTGTTATGGTCTCGAAGAAAGGAATGTTGACTAAGGCGCTCATGATAGAACTTGGGAACTCGCTGTTGTTGGTTGTGAGAAAAAACTGAGGGCATGACTTGGCACTGCCGGTACCATCAATAGTGCCTAGGGATGTCTCAATCGGCTGAGGAGGCTTCAGACGCGAAGAGCCCGTGGGTGGCTGGGCAAAAGGGATGGCATTGAATTTCTCCACCACTCCTAATGAGCCAACAATGGTGGCCGCGGGAGATGCAACTGTGATAGTAGGTGCATTCTGCGAGGCCGCAGCCGCCAGAACAGCGGCAGCTGGGGTAAATAGGAACAGAAGAGCGCGGGTCAGGTTCATTGTGTCCGTCGGCCTGGTCAGCCTATACTCAAAACGACAAGGTGGTCACCGGGAGAAGGCTGTTGGTGTGAAGCTTCAGCCGTGGGAAAGACCAGATCTACTTATACTGCGTTCATTGTCCGACTAACAGCGGAGCTTGTATCTCAATGCACATGATTCCTAGATTTGACCTCGCTGTTCCCAACATGCTGGGTACATACAGAGGAGTTGTCCGCCGGAGGGCCGAGAAAGGAGTTAGACCAGACGAGTCATCGTGCTCATCCACTCCGAAAACAACACCAACCCCTGTAGATCATTGAAGGTACGGAGAACATGACCATAGTCGGCAAGAAAAACCTCGGCCCTGATATTTGGGTGATAATGGGCGAAATACAATCGTGGAAATAAACGCGGCATTGAGACGTAAACGTCGGCATTTCTAGGGCATTCAAAGTTCAAGAACCGAGGCTGGCATGCCATTCCTTAGTGAATTTCCCGAAGAATGCGGAGATACTGCATCGATAATGATGCTGACGCAACCCTTCCAGACGGAGTTGATGGAACCTGTCGAATCAGACAAGGCACATTGCTCAGCAACAAGGGCGGAAGAGGAACTATGGATCCTCCACACAGGTGGCTTACCGCACCATCCCCGAAGATGCATACTGCCTCTTGCAGGACTCTCTCGGCATCACAAAGTTCCTTACCTTATCCGGAGCAGACGATCAAAATCCAGGGCCAGAACCAGAGATCATCGACAGCTGACGACTCGACCCCGCTTCTGCAGGTCCAGGACTCCAGGAATACGAAGCAAGCCAATTCTAACAGCTGCACGCTGAAGCAAATAGAAGGTTTGGCTAGCGAGCCAAGCGCGGTGCGAGTTGCGGACGTCCGGACAGTCTAGACGGTCAAGCCCTTTGGCGCGTCGCGAGCCTTGACTCCTATATCCAGGCTTGGAGACCTCTGTGGATCGGTAAACCCACTAATCTCAACATCAAGAGGCTGTGTAATTTGTGGATCTTCCATCGCGGCAGCCGTCAAGTTTCAATCAATCAGGCGACCCCATATGATTCACAGAACTCCGTCGCTTGGCTTCTGGGTAATCATGCTACTAATCGCAGATCATTACCGTATTCTGCGAAAGGACAAGCTTGTTAGAGATAGACACGCATGCCTTCCTTGGCAAGGTAGCAAGTGGATCGCATCCGAGGTTCAAGTCTCTGCCGGACACGGGATCAAAGCTGTTGATAATACTGGAATCGCTGGCTCATTGGGATGACGAGTCAATCAAGGACTTCGGTAGCAAGGATGTCCCTATTAGACTCGTAGCTCGATTTCCGAAATGGTATCCTGAACTCAGCCAGTACCATCTGGTTCACACTGGCCAAGGTTTAATCAGTCATTTCCCTATATACTCCAGGAAGATTTCTAAATATATCTAGGTAATATGGAGCGTGCTTTGTTGGATGGCATGAAAGCGTTTAACGGACTCGAAGTTGAACAGGGGGTAATAGCGACAGCTATTGACATTGTCGAGTTGAGCATACATAGTACATTATCCACAAGCGCATCCTATCAAGTTGACGGTGCGACATCTCACGGGCGAGGGATTGGCTGCAACCTCCCACGTGGATATCATATCATCCCTCGCTACCTTAAGAACTGTTGTTCTCCATACTGATGTCATGTCCAAGGTCGATTCTGAAATTTTCCATCATGGCAAGACCTTCTGCATTTCGGAATTGGTATGGCATTTCTGTGTGAGTACCAGCACTGACTGTTCCAGATTGGAGAGAATGCCGTATTTTGGTACTACGGCCTTGCAACCGACCTTTATGAGTACGGGTACGGTACCTCTTTCCATTTCTGCCGCTTCTTCCATGGCGAGCCTTTCTCTCAAGCCATTGTCCGCCATGAACACTACCTAGCTCACAGAATGGGCATTAACGCAAGAATGTAAGTGCTGGATGTTGGCTCCGGCGTTGGCGGTCCTGCCCGAGAGATTGTCAAGTTCACCGATGCTAATGTGGTCGGGTTGAACAACAATGACTACCAAATCGAGCGTGCGACTGGTTACACCGAGCGCATGGGATTGAGCCACAAACTCAGCTTCGTTAAAGGAAACTTTATGCAGATGAAAGTCCCCGGTGGCACATTTGACGCGGCCTATGCGATTGAGGCCACAGTCCATGCTCCTGAACTGGAGAGTGTGTACTAGGAAATTTTCCGTGTTCAGAAGCCCGGTGGAGTGTTTGAGGTCTATGAATAGCTTATGGCTGACAAGTATCGTAACGATAATCATGAACACCGAAGGATTCGCCTGGGTATTGATCTGGGTGATGGCATATCCTGTATGGTTAATGGTTTCCGACGGTTCTCGCCGCTTTTAAGAGCGCGGGTTTCGGGTTTCGAGCTTCCGCACAATGGGGATCTGGCTGATCCCCCCTGATTCAATCCCTTGGTACTACCCTCTTGCTGGATCGTTCAAGTACCTAACATCACCCTGGGATATCTTTACTACTGCCCTTATGACTCTGTTGTGTGTCTAGTGCCTGTTTGACGTCATGGTATTTTTAGAAAATTGATGCTGGTTTCATTTCAGTAAAACGCCTTCAGGCTCCATGACGTGCGACACATAGGGCATAGATTTTTGCCTCTCGTTCCTTCTTTCAAGAATAGACATGACAAATATCACGTACGTTCAGATTGTAATCCTTGGCAGATCACCAATCATCCGCCTGCCGATCAGCTTGGCGTTCCGATGGAACTTGATGTTTCACACTAATGGGCGTTCCAGAGAAAAGCCTTGGTCGTGCGGGGGGTTTGGAGGAAGGAATTACGCGTTAAATTTGCATTTCTCTCTCTACTTAGCATTAGCGGCGCCGAAAAATCATGTTATGACTTGACTAAACTAATATCAGAATAGTAGCGGTAGTATATTAATGTTGGATGCGGAAAGACTTTGGAAAACCCCGGCGGCAAGAGCTACTTAGCCCAAGCGCGGAGATAGACTGATCCCAGTTAGCTACCCCCAAATTCTGCGGGCATATTCGATATGGAATAAATCATCCTATGCAATTCAGGATCTTTTAACAGCCATCTTAGGATCTTTGCAATTATTGGAGGGTAAATTGGCTGCTGCTTTAGTCACATGTAACTCTTCATCCTGGGAAAAGCACGACTAGACAGCTTTAATGAAAATTATAAAAAGCTGACGATGTGCCTATGTTACTTTCCAGTCTTGTTTCTCAATCTGTTCACAGGCATTCATTGACATTAATCAAACATGTTTCCACGCCGCGCTTTCAGCCTAGGGCTTGTAGCTATGGGCTCCGTAGTCCTCGCCGGGCCATGCGACATCTATGCCAACGGTGGTTTTCCTTGCGTCGCGGCGCACAGCACTACTCGTGCCCTGTATAGTGCTTACACTAGTGCACTATACCAGGTGATACGAGGCTCCGATGGTGCCAGGATCGACATTTCGCCGCTTTCCGCCGGTGGTGTTGCGGATGCCGATGCCCAGGACACCTTCTGTACCAACACGACCTGCCTTATCTCAATCATTTATGACCAGTCTGGCACTGGTAATCACCTCTACCAGGCCCCACCAGGGTACTTCAGTGGCCCGGATGTCGATGGCTACGATAATATGGCTAGCGCGATTGGTGCACCAGTCACCTTGAATGGTCAGAAGGCGTACGGCGTCTTCATCTCGCCCGGCACTGGCTACTGGAATAACAATGCCACTGGTTTAGCAATAGGCGATGAGGCGGAGGCATGTACGCCGTGCTCGATGGGACACACTACAATGATGCCTGCTGCTTTGACTACGGCAACGCAGAAACCAGCGGCCATGATACGGGCAACGGCCATATGGAGGCCATCTACTATGGGAACTGCGATGTCTGGGGCACTGGCAGCGGCAGCGGCCCTTGGATAATGGCCGATCTAGAGAATGGACTATTTTCTGGTGAAAGCGATGGCTACAACTCTGGGGACCCGTCAATCTCCTACCGATTTATCACTACAATCATCAAGGGAGGGCAAAATCAGTGGGCGATCCGTGGCGCAAATGCTATGTCCGGCTCGCTCTCAACATACTACGAGGGGGCGCACCCGGAAGTGGATGGCTACAACCCTATGAGTAAAGAGGGTGCCTTGGTTCTGGGCATTGGTGGTGACAACAGTAATGGCGCTCAGGGCACATTCTACGAGGGTGTGATAACCTCTGGATATCCAGACGATGACACCGAGGCCAAAGTGCAGGCTGATATCGTTGATGCTGGATACGCCACTACGTCGCTGACTAGCGGCCCGGAGCTGATCGTCAATACAACGATCTCGCTGCAGGTCACCACTAGCGGCTACACGGACCGCTACCTCGCACACACCGGCTCTACTGTCAACACCCAAGTCGTCTCACTGTATAGTAACACGACCACACAACAGCAGGCTAGCTGGAGGGTACGCACCGGCCTTGGAAACAGCGATTGCTTCTCGTTTGAATCCGTCGACACCCCTGGCAGCTACATCCGGCACTCTGGTTTCGAGCTTTACTTAAGCGCAATAGAAGACGCGCAGCGGTTCTATGAAGATGCCACCTTCTGCCCGATGACCGCACTTAGCGGCTCAGGAAACTCTGTTCGATCCTGGAGCTATCCTACACGCTTTATTCGCCACTTCAATAATGTGGGCTACATCGCGAGCAATGGAGGTGTCCAAACGTTCGACGCCGCTAAATCATTCAACGCTGATGCTAGCTGGTTGGTCGTCAGTGGCTTCGCTTCTTGAGTCGTGAACCGATCTTAGGCAAATGGGGAGTTTAGCAGACGAGGTACGGGCCATGTTGGCCAGCTATGGCCGATGTGGGTAGAAGAGATGGAATCCGCTTGCATGATAACGTGTTTCTTTGCGCATAGTTAGTTTCCGGATCTTAAGTCATCATTATCATCTCACGTGGCTACCACTACCAACTGGCTAATGTAATCCCAAGCGACCCACCTTCTGGTTCACAGAGACTGGGGTTAACCGAAAAGTATAATGAGCGGACCATAGTCAGTCCTTCCACAAAACTTATTCAATGTTGTCTCTTAAATTCTCAACGAACGTAAGAAGGTATGTACATAGCCAGAATTTAGTGATTAAGGAGATTAGAGTTGAAAGAAACATTATCGAGCTCACCCCAGAGTGGCCATTCGTTGCCCCAGAAATCTTGTGGGATGAGGTCTTCAGTCACTTGGCCTTGGCTTTGAATGGCAAAACCCTGCACCGCACTACCCCCATCTTCCCCTGCCACCAGCACGTCATCTGGTGTCTGGGAAATCTCGTGCTCCACTGGAGTTCGCGAACGCTCGGTGACGTTGTGTATCGAGGCCATCAGGCCGATGAAGTCATCCCGCGTCTTGCCTAAATACCTAGCCGGGTCTTGACTGTGCCGCTCATAGATGGCCTTGGTGCGCTGGATCGTTGTCCACCAGCCTTGACCAATAGGCCACATGCTGCGGAACTGATCCAAATATGCCAAATTCTTATCCACGAGTACGCCCACGTCGCCACTACGGCCCATGTTCATGTTCGGGAAAGACAGGACATAGATATTCATCGTTGCAGCAGAGAAGTTGCAGAAGCCCGCAAAGGGAGTATAAAGCGGCGCTTCCTCATCAGTCAAGTCAGCAAGTACGCTGGTGATACATGAGGCGGCGTTAAAAAGCTCCTCGGACCTAACCTCCCACCATCCTTCAGGCGCCTTGGCGGTGAAAAGAGGTGGGTCCACAGGACCACAAGGCGTCGAATTCGGCCATGGAAGGAAAGGTATATACTCTCTGTTCAAAAAGAGTATGCTGGAGTGGCAAAACGTGATTTTGTGATCAGCCAACAAGTCTTCAAGAACAGGGAAGAGGAACGCCAATGCTTTTACCTGACGTAGTATATAAGATTCAAATACCCGAATACTTCACCCTTCCCCAAGGACTCGTAGATCCCCACTCTATTGGCTGGGTACCATAGCTTGGGATCCTGAGAATCACGCCATTCCTGAAGCTCTCCACGCATCGTTGCCCATAGCGAAGACTCTTCCCACGGAAAATTCTTACCCAACTGCATGTCTTTCCTGCGTCTACCGCCGCTAATAATCCAACGGTAGATCTTCGTCCAAATATCGAAGCCATGGACCAGAACAGCGTACGAGTAGTCTACCGTCATAGGGTAACGTGACGGGACCATGTAGCGCTGGATGTGTCCCTGCGCAAATGCATAATCTGCGTCTCCGACAGGCCAGTGTGTCGCCATTTCTTCCATTGGGAGGCACAGAGATTGTTGAGACCCTGGGAAAATCAATCTATCCATGATAAAGCAGCTCCACAGAGTGCGGTTGTGAATCTCCCTCTCCAGGCTATCCGATGATGTTAACACCGCTGGTTTTAGCAGCTGCATCATCCTAATAGCCGCACCTGCATGGCAAAAGGCATTAGCTGCTGTCTGCTGTCGGTTGCGCATTTGTTTCCTTGGCTTACCGCTGTACATCCATGCTGCATGGGTATTCCCCTGGCCCCACTCAAACATCGAGACTACTAAGAGGGTTTGAACAACATATATATGTGGAGGTTCGGTAATAGAGAGTCGACGGTGCACTTTGTTCAATGTATCCTCAACGGTGTGATTGGGCTTCGTGAGAGGTAAGCAGAGAACCCTCAAGGCGGAACCAAGCAGTTCTGCCTTTGGCTGCCGATCGCCGGCGTTTTGATGTAGACGACCTCCCAAGTTTCTTAAGTCAAGTGAGAACGTAGGCTTGTGAAGAAACCCAAGTTCTGGAAACTTGCACATGAACAACGTGGCAGTTTGTAGCAGGTTCGGCGCCTTCGGACTGCGCATTTGCAACGCGGATGGGCTCCTATCAGGAGAAGCTCCCTCGGAACGATAAGCTGGCGTATGGGCGGCGACTTCAGCGCTTCTGCCAGCATCTCGGTCCCCATCAACGTCCGTTTGCGGCACGCTGCGTGACGGGCGTGAGTTGATTGTGGCTTCTAATCCATGAAAGACTGGGACACCCACAGACGTGATCGGGCTTTCTTCTTCAGGTTTGGCCCCGACAGCACACATGAGCCCGGTGCTGTCCTTCCAGCCTTAATACAACCGCGGCATGGTGGTGTGCCATCATGAGTGCATTTTACCTTGCACGCTCTTCCACGGTAATAAGTTAGCTTGTATGGATACCAGCTTGCAGCCTCCGTAATTACTGTAAATGAGGTGCGGAAGATGCCGGACACTTAGGCTGCGGAAACACAGCGCCACGTACCTACATCTCATGCATGCAATAGTCGTTCGCACCATGTTTTGTTCACCTTTTTCTTTAGCAGTGAGTCACTTATGTCGGGGCTAGGCAGGTTTCATATCGGATCTTGTGGAGATCCAGACAGAATCGAGAGGCAAGATCAGTTATCAGTGGGCGGGGCCTTAGTCAGCAACCAGTAACCAGCTCTTTTGTCATGTCCACGACCCAAACCGCCACAACCTTAGGAACGGTCAGTCTTTACGGATTGTTATCTTATAAAAAAAATCCCGATTCAAAATAGGGCGGCAAGCTTGAACCGCCTGACTAGCGCTACGAAGAACTTTAACACTAGGTGTATTCTGCGCTGAGGACTATTACTATAGTACATTATATATATACCGTGCTTGGGAAGGGCTGGTATTATTGAGATAGGCTACGATGACGCACTGATACTAGACAGGAGCAATGTTTGATTTTCTGGAACTGTGTCCTGGTTACATGAGATCTGGGGTTCTTAAACCCTTCATGATCAGTCTCAACCAATGTTCTTCCTGTGAAGTTCCCCTTAAACGTGGATTATAACGGCGGCAAGAGGGCACGGAGCGCATGTCAAAATTAACGCCTCCGGAAGCCTTCCGACACACTAGCTAGCATCAAGAAAACATATTGAATAGATGGTGTCTTAGGAACTTTCCGAACTTTCCCTCCGCACGCTATTTTCTACCGGCTTTGGGAAGGGCCATGGCTTTTATTTCCAAGGGGTTATGAACGCACAGGAACTCTCACGAATATTGTCTTAATCTGTGTCCACATCCATGTGCAAACAGTTTCCTACTCTGCGCTTTATTTGGCTACATATCCAGAATCTGGGGTATTTAATGACCTTGAACCACATCACTTTCAAAGTATGGGGGACTGCTTACCGACGAAAATTTCCTGTCCTGTCATCGAAGTGTTCTTAGCGATTGTCACGTACATATCAGCGCAGTCCTCAAGGTCGACCTAGTAGTCCTGCTATTAGCAATGATGGAAGAACTCATTGTCAAAAATAGATGTATATCTAACCTCATGTTTGAGAATGGATTTATTTTTCCACGATTCGATCTCTTCCGTGGAGTATCTCTCGCCCTGCGCACCTGTCAGGAGTTATCATGAAGAAGAAGATATGTTACATACCCAGTCGGTTAACAAAAGCCCTGGGACAACGGCGTTGATGCGGACCATAGGGCCTTGAGATGCTTTCAAACATTTCAAAAGATGCAGACCTACATATCTTGTCCGTAAGCTACCCAGGCCGATAAGCGAATTTTACATACCCGCCGCTTTAGTCACCGAGTATGCCAGGCTGCTTCCAGATGCCATTGCGCCCTAGGCAACATTGAATTAGCGAACGATTAACAAATATTTAGGAGCAGGCTTGAGCCGTACAGCAATGGAAGAAGTTGCGATGAAGACCCCGCCTTCCGGATTACTTTTGAAAGTCGGAAGAGCTTCCCTAAACAGATACAGGTTACTTTTGACATTGCAAGCCCAACACTTTCGGAGAAAGTCAGAACTGCCCCGTCCACTTCAAAGATGGCCGATTTAGGAATCTCACTTTGTCCCATTCAGCTTCGTCTAGAGCATATAAGTCTTCGAAACGAGCAAATTTTGTCCACCCCTGGTATCCTTAGGACTCGAGACGGGTAATAAAAGAAGGAACAGAAACCAGAGCTTACCACATTGGAAATAACGATGTCTAGCCCACCCAATTTTGCTTTAGCCGTCTGAATCACTCTGACGCAATCTTGCTGTATACCGCCATCCTAAGTCACGGGATTGATCAGTTCCTCTACTCCGCTCTCCGTGTTCTCGAGTTCCACCTACCCCTTGTATAGTAACTGCTTTGATTCCGTATTCATTCATAAGTTTAGTAGCAAGAGTATTGGCTCGCTCTTGGCTCGTGAGGTAGTTGATGGCGACATTACAACCCTCCGCAGCGAATTTTGTCCCTATACATGCCCCGAGACCCCTATGACATGCCAATCGTATATCAATGACAGTAGAGGATAATCTTAGTGGAAAAGTATCACCAACCTTGCGCCACCCACAATCAGAACACTTCGGTTTTGGAGCTTGTAGGGCATCGTAACGTTGTAGCTTCCGAGGCTGATATGGGGTATCGCATCGCACCATTTCAATGAGATATTGTAATACTTATATACGATGTACAGAATCCGTCATCGCAATGCAGTTTATGTAACCCAACATTTCCTATTGTACCCCACAACGGGTAAACCTAAATGGGGCAGAGGCGGGGCGAGCCTGGCCTAAGCTTGGACCCTGAGTCTCGGCCAGTTCGCCCCAATCCTAAACCCGAAACCCGAAATACGAAACCCGAGAAATGTGAGACAATATCGGAATCTCGCTGAGTGTACTCCAAGTGTTTTGTCCCTTACAGTCGCCATCGGACGAGCGACACTGCCCGCATAAACTACCACGCCTTCTCAGTAGGTCAGCTTCACTAAGGTTCATCTACTACTGGTGGATAATAGTCGTCCGTCTAGCGCGCAAAGGAGTGCACAGTTTCCAACGACCTCGAAATTTGGGACGTCTTAGCAGCTCGGAGTTTTCGTAAATCCATGAGGGTTAAGCAGAGATTACAAATTCGTGTCAACAACTGAATACTTTGCAACAAGTAATGAAGCTGGGAGAGCCGCCTCTTCGCGTGTGCGGCCTACTCGAATTTTGCATAACAGAAACCGTGACCCACCAGTCGGGTGGAAGGTTCATTATTAACGTCATTAAATTTGCGAACTCCAAGGCCTTCTTCCTGAGGTCTGCTAGCCTTTCAAACTTAAAGCGCTTGCAGTTCATTCTTTTAGTATGGAAGTAGTGATTTGTTAGGAAAATCCTGTCATGTAGAGGTTATATCTGAGCTGAGACGGTCATGGGTTTTACGTTAATTGGACAGTATAGTCACATTATCAGTTTAGCTTACATACGAGTTTTGATTGATCCTTAATCGCGGAATCCGTGGAGAATAGAAGTTGGGAGCCGCATTGGCACCGGCGCAAACAAGGTTCTACCCCCTTGCGATTCAGATGATTTTCCTCAGTCATCGTAGTCGTCGCTTCCAAGAGTTGAGACAGTCTCTCCAGCCTTTCAAGATATAAGCTCTGTGCGTTAAGATCTAATGCTGTAAAGTGTCCGGATTACCTTATGTTTCGAAGGTGGGGCCTCCCTTGTAGAGTACGTTAAATCAGATATTCCTTCTCTGATTGTGATGCATAGTACGTACCGCTCCTGCTTTAACATCTCGGAAAGCACATGGTACAAACTGTTGAACAGAAGAGAGACTTAATACCGTGATAACAATCTGCAACTCATCGATGTTTTTTGGAAGACGTTGTGAGCTCTCACAGAGCTGCCATACAGAACTTTAGAGTACTTTGGATGATGCTGTTGACATCCAACGGTGAAACCGTACTTGTACACTTTATCTGGGCTACATCGGACCGCCGTACTACCTCTAGTGGATCAACATGCCCTGCCCCCCTTTGTGGTTCCTCATATAGGTGTCGTTTCTTGGCCTTATTGACATGTATTATGGAATGAAACTCCATTTTAGGCTATGAAGGAGAGGTATTCTTGTACAAAGTCTTCCACAAAGTCAAGGAAACCTTGAAGCTCGCTCCTAGTTGTTCCCACGATCAAAGCCAGCATGCCGCGCCTAGCCATCCAAAACCCTCTCTGGATAGCCTTAAACCAGAATATGTCCCTTAAAATTCTATCAGATTCGGTCAGTCCATTCTCCAATGCCTCCACGTTTAAAATTTGAGAACCAAACTCTCCGGGAAGAAAGTGGATGTTGCATACGGCGCCAATACCGGTGACCGTCATTTTGGTGCCTCGACACCTGTCAAGTATGCTCTGACGGAACCAGTCACCCATCGAATTGAGCTCAGTACAGATTTCGGCTGTGTAAACAGTAGAGAGTACTGCTAAGCCAACATTCATGGCCAATGTGTTGTTGTTGAATGTTCCAGAGTGGCTGATCGGTCTAACTGGTCTTTCTGGTTCATTCAATTCAGAATTTTGCCTGGGGTCGTATATCGACAGCAACTCTTCCCGTCCACCGAAAACTCCAATCGTCATTCCCCCGGCGATATATTTGCCCAATGTTGTGATATCGGGTTTCAATGCTGTGTTGCTGTGGGGATTGAGAATTGCCGACTGAAGGCCTCCCGGTGCAAGACGAGAAGTCATAACTTCATCCAAGATGAAGAGCATGCCATTGGCTTTTGTGGCAGTTTGAATGGCGTGTAAAAATGCAGCAGTGCCAGGTATACAGCCAGCAGCCCCCTGCATACCTTCCACAAGCACGGCTGCAGCTCTGCCTTTGTTGTCGGAGATTAACCTCTGAGTACCCTCGGTATCGTTGTATTTCCCGATAATCCAGTCACCTTTGTCCACGTTATTTCCCGCGACCCCGTGAACGAAGCTGAGAACGCCACCATGATATGCTCCCGAGAAAACTATGATCTTGGACAATCCAGTTGCACGACGAGCAATACTGATGGCATAGAGATTGGCTTCTGTGCCCGAGTTGCAGAAACGCAGTCGCTCCATCGAGGGAAATCGACGGCAAATTTCCTCAGCAAATCGAGCTTCGGTAACGGTCGTAGCACCAAGATTCAACCCAGTCTTAGAGACGGTGGAAATGATAGTGTCGCGAATTTTCAGGTTAGAGTGACCGCAGAGGCCAGCTGTCATTTCACCAATAAGGTCGAGGTACCTGTGGGCAAGACACTGTAAGATCCTCTGAATAAAATTTTATGGGGGTTAGGGCGTAAATACTCGTGCCCATCCACATCGATCAGCTTATTTCTGTCTCCTCGATCCATACAGATAGGAAACGGGTCTGTATGAAGAACAGAGCGGGTATTTCCTCCTGGCAAAACCGCGAGGGCATGCTGATGCAATTTTCGGGAGACTGGATGGTAGTTCAGGAAGTCTTCAATGAGATTGTCTAGCAATCCTTGTAGTTTCTGGACAGAACCATCAGACCCCTTTGGAGTACCCTGGTAGTCAAAGCTCTTGACTGCATCCATAGGAGATAAGTATTCGCGAAAAGATCCGCTGGTGGCTTGTATTTTGCTTAAGACGTGATAATGGACAATTCAAATAGAAGACCAGGTTAGTGTTTTCAATAAGACGCACTGGCTCTGTAGTGCCAATATGCTGCATGGCAATATTTATCCCTCGAATCTGCCAACAGACTTGGGCCCCCTATCGGACAGGATATCGCCGCTGGTGGCTTGCCCATGTCCCTAGCACATTTGCTGGGTGATCGGGCGAAATCTTCTCGGTTCTCGGTTCTCGGGTTCAAATTTCAGGCGGACTTTCCCTCGGTGATTGGTCCGCAACGGAGAGGGTGCTTGGCATAGAATAGCCTGCCGTTCCAGCAGTCCATCACCAATCTTTTGCATCAATGCCTTGCTTCCTCTATGGGTTAGCTATCTGATTTGATGGGAGTTGCTAGTGCACTGTATGATACACTGTCGCGCGATCTTTCCTTTCCCATTCAGCCTAGGATAGTCTAATCTTGAACGCCGGCATTCAAAGCCTCCTTCGCCTTTCCTCGTGTGTTTGGGTTCATGTCCTTTCATCGCATGCAGTCCTATCTACTCAAATGCATATAAGTAGTCCACTAAAAGGCCTTTCAACTTTACAAAGGCAGAGTTAAGATGAGTAATCAACTCTCGTCAGGATTTAAAACTAGTTGTAAGCACACGTGTTAACAGTATTCGACAAACGCGAAATCCTGCCATTCATTGTGGAATTGTCCTCGTTACGAGCTTAACAGCGACCTTATAGGCCTCTGTCACAACTTCAACTATGTGCCGGATCTCGTGCTCTTTCACCGTGAATGGAGGTGCGATGAGAATGTGATCGCCGCGCACTCCATCTACTGTCCCTGTGCCTGGATAGACAGCCACACCAAGTTTGAGAGCTTCCTTTTGCACCAGAAACCCAAATTGCAGCTTTGGCTCGAATGGGCTTTTCTCTGCTCTGTCTTGCACGAACTCGACAGCATAGAAAAGACCACGGCCCCGGATATCACCAACGTGCTTTTCGTCTCCAAGTTGTTCACGCAGACAGCGCTCGAGGATTGTTCCCATTTTAACACAATTTTCGAGAAGGTCGTCCCGACGAATAATCCTCTGGACTGCAAGTGCTGCTGCACAACTGATGGGATGCGCCTGAAATGTGTGACCGTGATTAAAGGAGCCGGATCCACAATCGAGGACGTCGACCACGTTCTGATGGACCAGGATCCCGGAAATTGGGGCATATCCGCCGCCTAGCCCCTTGCCAATGGTCATGATATCAGGGAAAACAGGGTTTCCATCCTCATCGCGCTCTTGCTCCCAAGCAAACATCGTCCCGGTGCGCCCCGTTCCACACATAATCTCGTCCAGTATAAACAATGCACCGTGCTTTCTGCAAACCGCTCGCATTGCCGCTAGGTATCCAGGTGCAGGCGTGACACAGCCACTGGTAGCACCTACTACCGTCTCAGCGACAAAAGCTATGACAGTATTGGCGCCGACTCTCTGAAATTCAAAATCTAGTTCTGCAGCCAAACGAGCAACGTAGTCCTCGGTCGTTTCGTCTTGCGACTGGTACTGGTACCTGTAGCAGGGACTGACATGACTGACGTTTGGGAGTAGAATCCCGCGGTATGGTTTCAATCGAGATAGGTTGCTCGAGATGGACATACTCCCGAAGGTGTTTCCGTGATACCCCTGCCTTCGGGCTATGAAATGTTTCCGCTCAAAGTCCCCCTTCTCGTAGAAATATTGTCGGGCCAATTTCATCGCACCATCCACAGCCTCGCTGCCGCTGCCGACGAAGAAGGCTTTGCTGATTCCATAAGGCCTGTTCCCCACCAAAATATCTGCTAGTTCTTCTGCGGAGGCAGTGGTGTATGTTGCGGTGTGTACGTATGAGATTGACCGAGCTTGTTCTGACATAGCTGAAAGGACCTCTTGACAACCATGGCCAATGCTTGCGACCGCAGCACCACCACATGCGTCCAAAACCTGTGCTCCATCTTCTAAGGTTATTTTGAGGCCCGAACTGAACGTTGCCAGTAGCGGCTTTTCGTGGAGTGAACGATGTAAAAGGGACGGTTGAGGATGCTCGACCCAGTATGACTTTTGGCTGGGAATAACTCCCGTGAGGGCCGAACGAAAGGTTTCTGGTAGTCCCTTAGCGAAAGTCGACGGTGACATTTGTCATTATTTTGGCAGTTAGGAGAGACCAATGTGCGCTCAGAACCCACATACCATGCAGTTGATTCCACATTACTGTATACACGATAAACAAATCCCCAAGTCGTCTGTCCGAGGAGAGACTGTTAGTATTCGAAGTTTCTTATTTGTTTTCAGCTCCCAAGTATCAAAATGTTGCCCCGATCGTTTCGTATCTCGGATTACAACCAATGCGATGGTCGAGCTGCTGCTGTCGCTGTGCCGCTCGGCGCTCGGGTTTCGGGTTTATCATCTGGAGAGATGATGTTCATTTGGAACCGAGCCGGGATATAGTTCATCTTAAAGACAGAAAAAACCCCCCTCCATTGCGTGGCTTGTAGAGAGGATCACCCACAACCGTCTAGAAGCAATTGAAGACATGAGGATGCGCCAGTAGACATTATCCGCCTAGACTTAGAACTCTAACAATGTCGGTACACCTCAAGATTCCGCAGGCCTGTAGAATAGGAATTGTTTAATCTCACTATTAAATTGGATTTTTAATATCTCTCTTAGTTCTCACATAAGTATTGCTCAAAGTTAGTGGATTTTTGAGGTTTTTTTTTTTTTAGGAGAGGATTACTTAATCATCCTACCTAATGTTTACAGATATCCTCTACGAGAGTCTCGCTGCTTTGTCGACGAGATTTTCCGAGCTCATCTTCAATCTTCGAGTAGGAAAGGCAAGGGTACGTACGTTGCCTTTGACACTCAGGATGCCAGCTCCTTGCTCAAGGAGATGCGCAATGTTGGAATCAATATTGGAAGCTGTGGTGTATCCACTATTCGGCTGCGGCCAATGCTGATCTTTGGGGAGGAGCATATTCCCCTACTGTTGGATGGATTTGAGAAAGTGTTTGCTAGGATCGGAAAATAGCCCGATGCCAACGAATGGCGATGGCCGTATCATCTGTGCGACCACGAGTCTGATCTAACTTGTCTTCAATACAACTTTTTCTGAGTTAGAATCCACTACATCGCCGTCGGCGAACTGTTTTCTCCTGTACAATGGGATTGTCCAATTTGTCGTCCATATGCAACAATGGGTCGCTTTTTGCATCGGGCAGAACGTAGATTCAGTGAATAAATGCTGTGGCTTTTGGCGGGAAAGCGCCCCTGGTACAAGCTTGCATTGATTCAAAACCCAGATCCTAAACACGAGACACTGTAGTAACTCTACACAGGAAGACTCGACTCCGAAATGGGAAGATGAAAGGGGTTGGTCTTGGTCACTGAAACAAAAGAAAGAAAAGGTAAAAAGGGACAGAAAAAAAAAGAAAAGAAAAGAAAAAGAAGAGACGGATGTACATACCCGTAAGCTTAGCTTTAAGTATATACTTTCTAGGGGGGACGCGAAAAGCCTGAGGACTAAATAAATCAAATGACATGGGTTTGGGTGGGCTTTGGCGAGGTCTCGTACAGTCACGTGGCAGCTTGCACCACCCCCCTTTACATTTGTATGATTCCCGCCCATCGACATTAACAGACACTGGCATCAGACTCCTAATGTCATGACACTTTTTTCTTGCATTCTGCCAATTGATGTAATGATCAGCACAATGCTCGTTTAATCCTCACTTCGCGCCTCTCCATACCTCTGTAGCCCCAGCCAGTCACCGCAGTCATGTCCACTCGACCTCATCGGCTCGACAGCGCCAGATCAAAGACGGGATGCATTACATGCAAGTCAGTTGGTTGGCTGATCGCTCGGATTTGATTTGCCGGTATCACTTGCTTATAATAGTATTAAGCCTAACCTTTTTTGCAGAATCCGCCGTGTCAAGTGCGGGGAAGAGAAGCCGCGGTGTTATCGTTGTAGCAGTACCGGCAGACGGTGCGACTACGCTATTGCATCATCATGGGCTTCGAAATCGCTGTCCCTGGATCGTCGCTCAGATGTGAGGTCTAGTATCTTTCCTTTGAGTGACCTCTCCTCGTATCCTTCTGGACAACGCGAACGACGCGCCTTTGAGTATTACTTCCACCGCGCCGCTCCCGCCTTGTCGGGTGTGCTGGACTCGATCTTCTGGCGCGGGACAGTATTGCAGATATGTCGCTCCGAACCGGCCATATGGGATGCCATCATCGCCCTGAGTGCATTATATGAACGCCCACCCGTAACTGACTGCCCACCGTTCTCGTTGCTCGCCATGGCCCCTGTAGCTCGAGAGCTACGGCACCTCCAAGCGCTCTCTTGGTACTCCCGTTCACTGGAGAGTCTGCAAAAACGGCTCCAGAAGCCAACACTGGACCCTGCAGTTGCCCTGCTCAGCTGCTTACTCTTTATAACCATCGAGCTCCTGCAGGGAAACATGTCTGCGGCTGTTACGCTTTACCGACAAGGGATGAACATGATCGCAAATAATGACGCATTAGTCGCAGAGACACCCCGGTCCACTATTTTATCCGGAGAATTCCATACGGTGGTTGCACCAGTCTTCGCTCGCATGGGCGCATTGACTCTAATTCTAGCTGGAGTGGCCCCAATCCAACAGTCACCCGCGGATATCATACTCAACCAAGGCTTCTCCACGCTGACCGAGGCACGAACTGCCCTCTACACCCTCCTAACAGCATGGAAGCTCCTTAACCAGGAAGCAAAGCAAGCTCAAACCTCCAATTATAACGGAGAAAACCAAATCCTCATCTGCAACACCCTATATACGCAAAAGCAGGCCCTCGAATCCCGTCTCCTAGCATGGCACCGCGCCTTCCAAACAATAAAACCTGACCCCACCCTATCATCAACCTCACACAGCGGCGTCTCCTCCACCCTCCAAATGACCTACCTAAGCATCCTCATAGAGACACGCACATGCCTCGCCGAGACGGAAACAGACTACATTGCACATGAATCCGACTTTGCACACATCCTGTCCCTCGCCCCCGCCGCACTGGCCATCACCACCATTGCTGATGGTGACAGCCAACCGCCTTTCACCTTTGAGATGGGCGTCGGCCTACTCCTGTTCATAACCGCGCTAAAATGCCGATCGCCAGCGTTGCGGAGGGAGGCGTTACGGTGTCTGCGGCTTGCGCCGCCGGTGCAGAGCTTGTACATGTGTCGGCCGTCGGCGCATGTGGTGGCTGCTCTGGTGTCGCTGGAGGAGGAACTGGATCCGAGTGGAAGAGGCGTGATGTCGTTGGAGGAGGTGTTGGGTTCGTCTGGTCGAAGGCCGAGGGCAGATTGTCTTGTAAGGGATTTTGGAGTGGTGAGCTCGAGAGCTAAGGAGGGGCGATGGCAGGCGTGGTTGAAATATCGTCGTGGGTGCGTGAAGGGGGGAAAGTGGATGATGGTTCTTTTGCCTGAGGTTGGGGCGGAAGCTTAGCGTGATATACTTGCATACGAAATCGTTATAGGTAGGTGACTGAGTCAAACTCTTCGCCCCGTTCACCTGAAGCTGGCCTGAACCACCTGAACCTCAATAATGCGCACCCAGTGACCTTTTTTCCAGCAGCACTCTCCAGATTTGTGATGTATCTTTCGTAGGCCAACAGTAGCTGCTTATCTCACAAGTCACTATGGAAAAAGCCTACTTCAAAAGGGGTACAAAGCCCTTACAAATAGCTTATCTTTAACCTCAGGCCACTTGAACTTGATTGGAAGATGCATCAGTCGGCCTTTCCGTTAATGCATGGATTCTTCATGTGCTCCTATGCATTATATGTCTCTAGACAGGCCCTGAGCGCAAGTCACCATCCCCTGTGGGCGTTAAATTGACGAGTGCGGTCTTGGGCCCGATGGCCACATCAATGCAAATATGACACGAAAAGCGACCGCGTGTTTCCGTAGGACCTCCATGCAAATGATATTTCATTGGCAACGGAGCCCAGCCCACTACATCAAGGAGCAGATTATTTTCTCGTCAAGTAATTCACCAGTTTTCTATGCTATTCGAAGTTGGGGCTGCCGGCCTTTCCCCCTTTTTTATAGCCACCCCCACGAACGAGTCGCTTCAATGGTGCGAGTGTGAATTTGAAGTCTTTCAGCAAGTCTACCCATCATTCACGTATCCAGACGGCTTCAAGGACAAATTTCTCATAAGCCGCAATAAGATCAGTGATGGTGGTGTTATGCACGACCTTGTGGACTAGTGGCGTGCTACCAAACTTAGCGTTTTCAACCAGAAATTCAAACCTCATGTAATGGCTCAGTCTCTCTGCTCCCGCTGGCTCTCTCGGAGCCTGTAGTCCTATTCCTCCACGATGCAGGATGGTCGAAACGTCGACGCCTTTCTTCGAGAGCTCAACGAGCTGCAATTCGTCACCTCCCACAGCAATGTCAGCGATGCAGTACGTGGGCACAAGTGTGCTGCTGTTCAACTCCGCGCCAACAGCTATAGGGCACATCCTTGATCGTTACGTTATTATCTATGCTTTTGTCACACACGTTGAGAAGATTCAAAGGGCCGCGTAAGTGTCCCCCCAAGTCTTGTCTTCTGAGTCCTGCCAGGCCAAGACATGCACTGGCCTCTGCTGCATGAGAACCTAGCCATTGCAGTTACGTAGAATGTACTATGTTGTACCTTGCTGAACGGCTATGGTCTAGCTTGTATGGGAGATGAGAAAATGTCGCACTGCGGTAAGGCTATCAAGTACAGCAAAATCCTTCTGGGCTTCGTGCATTAGACGGACAAATGGGATCTGTCCAGGTTTGTTGCCTCAAACTATTGGACGATAGATATTACCTGTTTCTGGGTGACAAACAAGAGGCATCGGTAGGTTATCAACTCTAGGATCGTATTAGTCAATATGTGGCCCGGACGGGCCATTGACATTAATGGTATTCTAAGCGGCATTAAGTCGTATCATTCTGGTTTTGTCTCCAGACTGAGACTGCATGGGGGCTGGAGTTCTTGACGGTATATATTCCAGGCCAATCTCACTATCGGAGAGTCCTCGCTACACCCTCATACATATCCGCTGTTATTTGGCAAACTTATAAAGCCTATATCAACCATGACTGACTATGGAGTGAGTAATATTCCCACAGCTCAAAAGATCTGGTTGACGCCGTAGCAGCCCGAACTCCCCGTCCCGGACTACAATCTCGGAGGGTATACACTCGAAGAAGCGATCATGCAGTCGAACGCTACGCTTGCCGCACAACTCATCGCTGCCGGCGCCAATGTCAACCAAACTGATGCCAGGGGCAAAACCCTTCTCATGCTGGCTGCCTCTGTAGGAAATGAGTCTGTCCTAAAACTTCTTCTACAGAAGGGAGCAAAAATAAACGCCGTGGACTGCCACGGCCGGACAGCGTTGCACCGGGCTGCTATTGATGATGAGACTACCCGTATCTTAGTCGACCGTGGAGCCCACGTGAATAAGCAGGACAATAATGGCAAGACGGCTATGCATCTTGCCGTCGAGGATGATGAAAGGGGAGTGGTTCATGTCTTGCTTCAGGGGGGCGCTGATCCTGATCGAAAAGATAATAAAGGAAGGACGCCCAGAGGGTTGGCGAAGAAGTATGGGAACAAGAAAATTTTACGGTTGATCGAGGCTTTTGACGATGATGACGATGATTGAACGTGGGGCTGGTGTCCATACTTTCGTACCAGGGAATAAGACGAATGAGATGGATATGTATTCAACATAGCATGTCCGTTCAAAGGCTGACTGGTGCTGGAAAATTGTCCTGACAATTATGCCGCCATTAGCTTATCTAATAAACGTAGCATTTCATCTATAATCCGACAGTTATGGGATCTCATTTCTCTCTTGGTACCTAGGGCTCCATTGCGGGATCTCATCATGCCAGTGCGGCTTGCTGCAAGGCAGTCACTCTGCCAGACAAGGGGGTCTGTCCCTGCAAGCGAGCAAACACTGAATGCCAGAGTACATTAGTAGCTACAGGGAAATACAACCCGAATATTCCGCTGTTCTGTTCTTATCATTATCCATAGGAGAAACGAGCGTCATCTACTAGCCTCTTTCTCTGCGCGGGGTTATGACGAATCGACATGGGGGTAGATAAAAGACGTGGCCGCAGCTGTAGAATGTGCTCATGGGACGGGGTCATATGGCCTTCCGCCCGCTGGTATCTTAGGAACCATCTTGTCAGCCTTTCAGCAGCTTTGGGGAGTTGTGGACTTTCCGTACTTGTTGGGCTCTGAAAATTTCCCCCAGACACAATCGACGTGTGCATGGATCGGGCCTCCCGATCGCCGCCTCATTTCAGCCTTGCGTCAATGTCAACCTCCATTAACTAAAGGGACAGAATCGGTGGGCTAGAACGCGTGTTGGTATTACTAGACTCGACCCATTCTGGAATCGTTAAGATTACCCCTCTAGTCCCCATGCCCCTTCTTTTGCGGAACGAATCGCTACATACTATTCTAGTTTTGATCTTTGCGAACCGTCCAGGTTTATAAGAATACCCTCAAGGAAAATCCTTATCGACGTGCTCTGAAATATAACAAACAACGGCAATAACAACACCTGGCCCACATTATTTGAGCATGGTGATCAAGAAGCTTTTGAACGGGGCCGTCTACAACGGCGACTGGCACAATTCCCAGCCCGAAGGCTACGGGGTGATGAACTACACCGACGGCTCCCGGTACGAGGGCACCTGGCGCGAGGGCCAACGGGACGGCAACGGAAAATACGTTTGCTCTGACTATGAATTCCACGGGGCCTGGCGAGACGACCAACCCAATGGACAAGGGGTCAAGACCTGGAAGGCGGGAAGAGTGTATGACGGGTGGTTTGTGAACGGGCTTCGTGAGGGTTCCGGTACTATGACATGGACCAACACCGGGAGAAAATATGCTGGTCAGTGGAAGGGAGACCGCATGAGCGGGCGGGGGGTGTGTCACTGGCCAGATGGGTCGTGGTACGAAGGGGAATGGGACGGTATGAAACGGGTGGGGAAGGGGGTGGCTTTTCTTCGATATGAGAACAGTGGAGATACCTATGAGGGCTCAGTCTTGAATGGGGAGAGACATGGTCATGGCAAGTATACGTATGAGGATGGATCGAAGTATACGGGGCTGTACGAGAAGGGACTGAAGCATGGTGTGGGGACTTTGGTCACTGCGACTCATGTCTTCAGGGGGACCTGGAAGCACAACAAGCGTGATGGGGAATTTACAGTTACAGAACTGGCCACTGGGGTCAAGTCCAAGGTGCGATATAAGAACGGGAAGAAACAGTAGATATCATCAATAGTTTGCGCCGGAGTTCCAAACCTAATGTAGTCTGTTTATCCAGACGATTTCACACCGTCAAGGATCACGATCTCACGTATGAGGGATTCAAATCCTCAAGAGTTGTCTACGCTTCTAGAGCCTCAAGTCCGTTATAGTGACAATTATCAGGAAGTGTGTTCTTGGATAGAGCAAATGGATCACAATTATCATTCGTACCCGTGTACCGCTATAGTGGTGGTAGAAGTAGTATCGGCAGAACTCCATACTCGCCGAAGTCAGATAGAGCTGCATGTCCTCTCTTGCTGTACACAGTGACACTAGTGGCTGGATGGACGATAATGCATCTTTACCGTGAAGGATGTAAGCTACAGCGACTTAGAGGAGCTTTGCTTTCGTTCCAATACTCCACTTCAGAGACAGTGCACTACATATACGCGTCCACCACATTGCGTTCAGTCCTAGTGTTGTCCACCATGCGGAAGCTGCAAGGGAGGCTTCTGTTCCACATTACTCATGGAGGTCATTATACGTCTGGGTTTTGGTAAGTGTCCGGTAGCATACGTACATAAATGCCAACCTATTCAAATAGACCGGGGCAAGCCTTGCAACTCATGATCCGGACCGCTCCTCTTTTTATTTGGGATCATTTGGTTGGCCCCCGGAATCAAATGGTTCGAAAGAAATCCCGCATATCCGATACTATCCTCGTAATCACGGCGGATTACTCGCCTTGGAGCTAGACGCTGAAAGTGATGGTACGCGGGTGGCCTACCATCTCTGGCTTCAGCTGAAGCCCGGAGGAATTGCAAGGATCCCAAACTGAGTCAGATTTTAGTCTGGCTGGTTGCAAATCCTAAATTGTTCAAGTACGATAATTTCCTGCTATACTGAAACTTTCGAGCTTTGAGCAAGACTTTGACCTGATCCCACCTACGTCGATAGACCATTCGTTCATAAAATACCCAATGCCTACCCAATCCATCCTTTGCGTTTATCTCGCACCATTGCTGTTGTTTACGTCCACGTTTTACACTATTACTGCGGTACTGTGCCATCAATGGCCACACATCAGTCTCCTCACGACACAGGCCTAGCCCTTGTGAGCGGAGTCGCTGGTCTAACAGTTGGTGGTATGTCTTTGCCTCTCCATTTAGCTCTTCGCGACACAAACTGACGTCGCTGGAGACCATCTTCATTCACAATCTGCGCATCAAATGACATCGTCACCCTCGTTTGTTGACTCTCTCCCGCCCTATCTCCGCATGCGAGTCACCCAACTTCAAGCCCTCCAACGCCAACAGGATATTATCCACACGAAGCTGCAGAGAGAGATCCAGGCGCTTCAGAAGACATACTGTCTCCAATACTATCCCCTTTACCAAAAACGCTTTGAGATTATTACAGGTCACACAGACCCCAGCCACGGCCATGAACCTCTGGGCATTCCGGATTTCTGGCTGACGGCCATGAAGAATCACCCCGATATTGGGATGAGGATCAACGAGGATGGCGATGAGAGAGCGTTAAAATACTTGACGAATATTCAAGTGGAGCACCTGGAAGACTTCGATTTTGCTTTGATATTCCACTTTACGCCGAATGAGTTCTTTTCGAATTTGGCGCTACGGGCAACGTTCTCATATCAGAAGGAGTTTATGGGGGACCGGCCGGATCCGCTGGAGGCGAAGGGGGACCACATAGATTGGAAGCCGGGGAAACAACTCACTAGGCATTGTGGAGGTAAGCGATCGGAATCCGCGGGGATATTGTTGGTGTGTGCCTATTCGTAATGATATTCCACACAGGAAATGAGAACGCGGACGAAGAAAATGAATCGGGTTCCTTTTTTGACTTTTTCTCTCCTACTGCCGTCCCAGCGGAAGGGGACAAGGAAGAAAGGGAGGAAGATGAACTCCTGCTCTGGATGGATTTCGAATTGGCAGAGCTGTTCAAGAATGAGCTGGTCCCGAGAGCAGTGGAATGGTATACTGGGGATGCTGAAAGTGAAGACGAGGATGAGGATGACGATGACGATGACGATGACGATGAAGGCAGCGAAGACGACAGTGAAGACGACAGCGAAGGCGACAGTGAAGGCGACAGTGAAAACGACAGTGAAAACGACAGTGAAAACGACAGTGAAAACGACAGTGAAAACGATAGCGAGGACGATAGCGACGGAGACCGCGAGGACGACAGCGAAGATGCGGAAGATGCAGAGAATAGTGATGAGGCCAGTCGCCGGCTTCGACAACGCCGGCAACTGCAGATGCCACAGCGGCGCATGTGAGATTTGAGATGCCTTCTTTATTTACGTTTCTAAGTCTGCCATGCATCCTCTTCGATGTGCTGAATAATGTTTTTAAAATGGCTTAGCCATTCCGTATCCGACGATATTGGTCTACTTCGGATAATTATGTGCTGTGGATTCGTATCTCCGCGTACTGTTCTGGTCGATAGCTAACTTCTAAAGCGTACGTCTCGTTTCTGTCAAGAAGCTACACACGATAACCTGCACAGTATGCTCAAACGGGTAGCCCTCAAACCAGATTACAATAAGGATCACCTGTATTATGTAACCCTATCTTTACAGTACACCTGTTTGCTTCCTTCCCAATGAGTATGTGAGGTGGTGGCGGCAGATGCTATCGGAATGAGGGAAATGCAGCAAATGATGTGATAGTGGCTTGCAGATGTTGTCGGGCTCTCCAGTCGATTTCCCAATCGTCGAGGCTGGGCATGCAGCAAAGACAGCTCCTTCGCTTGAGAAATGCCAAACCCCGTTCACGCATAACGGTAACCCCGCTGGATGAAATTCCGAACCCGCGCATCCAGGTCGATGAGCCAGGGATACATCGTCTGAATTTGCCCAGCTTGCATGTAGCCACGAAGCTGGGCGAGTGAGTCCCCGCACCCCTTGATGAATAACCTGAGACCGCCATCATCGCTGCACTTTTTCCTCAATTGGTCCAGCTCATCCTTTAGATGTTTTTTCTTTTTTTTAAGGTCTTCTTTGTCATCCTTGAGCTTTTTGTTTCTCTTTTTCAGGCTCTTATTGTCACCTGTGAGCTTTCCGTTTCGATCATTTAGTTGGTCAACTTCGTCTTGGCTAGGGCCTGCAGATTTCGGCCTATCAGTGACTCGTCGATCCAACGGCAGTGATCGGAACAGTCGGAAGAGAACGAGCGTTGCGCGAGTCAATCAGAATCGCAGCAATAGGCAATAAATACGATATGACTTACCGACCCGCCTGAACTCAAATGACGAGACTCTCGATCGCGGAGAGGTCATCTTTGTCAAGACAAGTGGCGTGGTATTTTTCATATTGTTAACGGTATAGACCTTCTGGCCTCCCCGACTCCTACTCAGCATTGTGTTAGCATTGTGTCAGCATTTGCGATGGAGAAGTGATGCCCAGGGGCACCGCAAGACAACAGACCTGCCCTCCGTGATTTTGAACATGCTAGTCTTGTTCTTTTCTATCCCAGGATTGCCGGCAATCGGTTTGACGGGATAAGTATTGTCGCTGCTGTCGTATGTCACGATGGTGTTCTTGTTGCGGCCGTAAATGGCGTATTTGTCTCCGGACAGGTGATGAAGATAGAAGATCTGCCTCGACATGCGGCTGCTTGCAAATGAGTTTTGCGTTAAGGTTGCTGTTCGCGTCAGCACTTCGGTGTCGTTGAGGAAGATGATATACAAGCCGCTGGTAAGCATTTTGGCGTAGGGATAATAGAGGCGAAGCTAGTCGGATAGGTCGGAGAGTCGATATAAATACGCTGGAATATGGAAATGTTTGAGACTACACAATGTCATGCTTTGATGCGATTCCAGGCGCAATAATATATTGTAGGTTCCACGGGTTAGACATGGACACGATCACCGTTCTTCGGGCATCAGCATCCCTCAGATGACGACGCATGGCTGTATGTGGCAGTCAGCTTCACGCTATTTGAAACTTACCGAGTGTGCTAGCCCAAGTTGTGCAGACTGTCCAGTGCCTCACGCGTTCACTTCCCTACGGGGTTAGGCAATTATCTCCGGATGCGCATTCTGTGCCTCACTGAGCCATCTTGAGGCTACTGGCATCGTATAGATCTGAGCAGTAGATAAATTTAGAGCACTGCAGTGGTTCCCACCAAGCTTCCCGCATCAGAGAGATCCACTCTTTGTGGATCGGCCCTCTACAGTTAAAAATAATAGTAGTGAATAATGTTATTATTGGTGAACTCCACTGCATGGCCGCGGCATGAAGGGTGTTATGCAGTGCTGAAGCTTCTGTTTGAGAATGGCACATTCTGGCAGGCATGTGACTTACCATGTATAGTGAATCACATGACTTGCGCATACCCTGGCTCCCAAGTAAATATGCAGCTCTCCGATGGTACTTCCCCATATGCCTTGAGTCACAACTCTATGGCGGATCATACTACGCCACCCAGAACTGTTGTGAGTCTCCGTTGGCTCCTCCTCCGTCAATGATCTCTTTCAGTGTATCCTCTCTCGCCAATGTTTTGCAATCGCTTAAAAGGGCTGCGGCTTAAAGTCTTAGGCTTCTCAATCTGGACGATTGTGAAGGGGCATTACGTGCGCTGGGTTCTGATTTCTATCTCAAATATCATTTGAGTAGAAGATCCCGTGGGCTAATCTTCAGTCGTTGGTCACTGCTGGTTACTAACAGCTAGACCTATTTATGTTTATGATCCCCTCCGTTCATGCCCAGCCATCCGAATGCCTACATCTCTCCATGAACTATTTTGCGCACATGTTGTCTGCAACATAATGAAACGACTCAAATGGTTTGAATGATGTACTGGGTGGGGCCCGAAGCGCCTGCACCTCTTCTTAGGGAGTCAAACGGGCCTTCCTGTAGTGGTCTGAGAGAAGCCTTGAACTAGAGAATCGAAGTCCGTAAGCGTTAAGCGGGCAAACATAGCTTTTTGCATCTGGAGGCTCATTGATTTGCTTTTCCATAGGATTGCTGGCTGGCGGCGAGTATTTCGCCAAGTGTTCTTGTTGGCCCCTGCCAAATAAGCGGATATTATAAGGTTGGTGTGGTCATAATATATGTGGTGTGAATCACTCTGATCCTGGGTCTGGTTGTGAAAAGCGTGAAGTCTCGCACGATTGTGCATGCTTGGTAGCTCGAATGTGGCTGAAGGCGAAGATATAGGAGCGGGGCCAGGCACAAGGCCAAAAGTTGGAGCAGGGTTAGTACTACCCGTATCATATTTGCGTAGCCAGTCCTTGATATCACTGGGGTCAGCTTTTGCAAACGCTAGGATATCATTATGATGGTTCAGCACGTGTGCAGATGGGGTCGGAGTGGAGAGCAAAATGTGTTTGTAAACAAGGTCGTTGATTGAGTCAAAGATAGGATCTCCCCGGTCGACGACAAACTGCCGCTCCTCAAGCAGCGATAAATAGTGCTCCAAGGCTGTACTACCCTGAGTGGTGTTGTAGAAGTCCAGAAGCGCTCTCATTCGCCAGTTCCTGCCCAGGGATTTGTCTTTAATGGCATCGCGAAACTCATCCAGGTTTCCCTTCAACCCTTTTTGCAATTCTATGCCCACCAGTCGTAAATGATTTCGTGTTCTGGGATTTGGCGACGGCGCTCCCTGCTGCGAGGATCCTTTTTTGGTTAAGATCGCCGTGGATGCCTCAAAAGATTCTTCAAACGGCTAAACCATTCGCTTATCTCGAGAGTAACAGGCCCAGCGATACTCTCTACTTTGGCCATTCTCAGGCGGAAGGAAAAGTATGATCTGAGGAAAGTCGTTGACAGGATTCTCGGGGCAAGCATTGACTGAGCATTTGAGGAATGTACTGACCCTGCTTACACCTTCTACAGTGGAGCCGCATAGAAGTTGAGTTACATCTCATGGAGATGAGACAACGATTGTCCCGGCTGGGGATCAACGTGTTGCCCCTATAAACCAATCTATTAGTTTCGTACATTAGACAAAAGTAGGTGGAAGGACATACAAGAGGCGATACCATAGGCAAGTCCGCGGAGTCCTTCTCAGAGAAGTCAGCATCTGGAATTCGGTGGGCTACCAGACAAACATCACCGGATATATAGTACACTTGGAATGAAGTGAAAATATATATATCTTTTGAATATTAACTGCAATAATTGTACTACCAGCCACACCACTCTTAATTTTAAGTATTTTGCCTATATACTATATGAAACTGAGTAGTAATGGATTAAAGAAGCAGAATACAGTAGTGTAGTATCAGAATATTTCATGTAGAATGTTGTTGTTTAATGTTCATGCAAGCTACGTGACAGTGACAGGTGTAAATAACAGTCATTTATTTATATGAATCAGCAAGTTATGTCTTGAAGTTATGCATGGATGGGCCCTTGGCGGGCTGAGAATGGGCTGCAGGGTCAGCCCGTGGGCCGTGCCTGGGCTTTAGGTGTCAGCCCGCGGGCTCTAGTTAGACGGGCCCTGGGCCTTTGAGAGGGCCCGTGGGCGGGCTCTGCAGAGGTCTACTCATATCTCAGGCGGAAGGTAAAACAGTAACTTTGCGCAGACATCTCTGCAGTATATATAAACACTGCATAACAGGCGTATCGTGACCTGAATATTAGACCCTATATAAAGAGCAGTCGTGCCCAGGAATATTTAAACTACCTGGTAATCTGCTCCTGCAGCAGGCTAAAGTCTCCTGCCCACTTTTTCTTCTGTTCTCACACCAGGAACTGCTGGAAGAATAGATAAAAGTGTCTAAAGACTGGCCTGTCAGAGATAATTAACTGGCTTCTTAGTACAGCTGCTGGGGCTGAAGAGTTTAGCTGTATTATGTAAGATGTATTCTTCTTCAAGGATATATGCTTGAAATGAGTATGCTTAAGTACTGAATAGTGCAACAGTCTATACTCCTGCCTGGATAGGGGAGGATGGCATCTCCCTCTATCTATAGGTAGCCGAAGCAGGTCCCCACCTCCAGAAGACCAAGTCAGGATAGCGCCAGGCGCTTCTTTCACTCTTTTCCAGCATATATTATCCAGATTTGTTGCTTCAAGCATGTATTTTGCTAGTTCCTAGTGGGAATTTTGTTTAGGTAGCACGTCCAGTTGCCCCTGGTTAAATAGTAACTAAACCAAACAAAACCAAAACCCTGAAGGCTTGACCCATTAGTTAGTGGGATAGAAAAGCGAGCAAGCGGTTAAGATAGTCGATAGAGTCGTTAATAGAATCGAGTATTTATCAAATGGCACCCGAGCCTCAGTAAGCTACGTACGTGTAGCTGATTCAACCTCATTCTGCCCTTCTTCCCCTCCGATCACAACATATGTTATGAGCCCGGGCTGTTACGTCGTGTCTAACCAACAGGCCTAGCACCTCAGGAGATTGCGTAAGGCCAACTACCTTGCCCAATCTAGCAGATTTGAAGCTGTACGCAGCGTGTTGATCCTCGATCTTGTTAAGGTCTCAAGGCCCGTGTAACCTGCCTACCTCTCCCTGATTGGGCTATCGAACCACTACGTCTCGAAAGTTGAATAGGACAGATACCACGCGAGCGAGACCCTAAGACAGGGAGATATATATCAAGCCGTGAGAGCACCGGAGAGTCAGTGGGACCGAACGTACATGAGACATTTGACGAGCCTGAAACTATTGAAAGCCTGTTTACTACGGACAGCCGCATTTGACCAATCCTCCTCCCCAACACTCGTCTTCACAGCCTATATCTAACTAATATTCCTAGTGGCTGAAATTATTGGAAATGATTTTACAGTCTATAACAATTTAGTCCATCATAATTATATTGGGAAGCTCTCAGACCGAGCACAAATGTAGGCCGAGTTAGCGGCACCCGCTCTATTTGGTCGTGCTGTGCCTCGGTCCCTAGCTTTAAAAAATAGGCGCATCGAAGTTTCATAGTCGAAGTCCAGGCAATAAGCAGACAATAGAACAGAAGACTCCAAGCGGGGGGTGACACGGAATAATCCCTCCGCGAAGACAACATTACACCACAGTCGAATGACCGAGGCGCTCTTTGAGATTCTTGTAAGGATGGAATTTAATGAGTGTTGCAAAAAATGGATCCTTTTGGCCGCTGTACGTGTATTTGACGAACTTGATTGCAGAATCAACCTCTTCTGGACGCAGTATTTCATGCTGGTCCTCGTAGTCCACCAACACTTGATAGATCAATTGATGCATGTAAACAGTCAAGGTGGTGTCGCTTGTTGGGAGTTTAAAGAGAGTGCCGATCCCTGCTCCACATTTACTACTGGTTCCTCTCCTTCCTCTGACCGAGTTCACTCGGTCGCCTTCTTACCCGATGGTGGGCATGTGGCAGCAAGCACAGGTAAAACGGTGATGATCTGGAAGCTTGATGGTGGTGGTACTCCATCCACACTTGACCATGTTGACTATGTCCAGTCAGTTGCCGTCTCACCTAAGGGTAAGTATGTGGCGTCAGGTGCATATGACGGAAAAGTCAAGATCTGGCTGCCAACCTGTCATAGCAATCTTGTGTACCAAGGGGTTAGTGACGGTAGTTGTGTCGGATTGGGTACTTTGTACTAGGTATTAATGCTTATACTGTTAATCACAATTGGCTTTACATTCAATCATACTGTATAATATAATAATTTCTAAAATACTTCACCTGCAATATGAAAGCCTTTGCTCGACGAAATCCCCGTAACACACCTAGATGGCGTTAAGGCGGCTCACAAATGATATTGGCCGGAA